GGCAGTGGTCGGGCGCGTGGTGGTGTGCCGAGTGGTGGTTCTGGAGGCGTGCGTTGTCAGTACCAGATCCAGACCGGTCCTCGCCGCGGCTTCGTTTGCGATAAGATCGGTCACTCCACTCCCCGCTGTTTTCGTCGCCTTAACGACCTGTTTCGTCAGCGCTTCGGCCCGTCGCCAAACCTCCCAGACTGGCACAGTTTGCTTAGTCGTAAGATTCAGATTTTTGACCTGGACATGGATGCCATTGTTTCTGCTTTGCATGTGATGTATGCTGATGACTCTAGTGTGCTTCCCGCTTATTACTCACTGTTGCCTAGTGTAGGTGTGCCTAGCTTAGCCTCCCCTGCTGCGTCAGGCGTAGGATCCCCTGCTTTGTGTAGTCTTGGTGCTTCCGCCGTCGTTCCGTCGCCAGACGCCTCTGCTTCGCTTTCCTTCACCTTGGACTCTGGCGCTTCCCGGTGCTTCTTCCGCGACTCCACCACCCTGACGCCGCTTCCTGTTCCTGCTACCGTTTCTCTTGCTGACCCCTCCGGCGGTCCGGTAGTCGCCCGCAGTTCCACCACCCTTCCCTGTCCGGCGGTTCCTTCGGGCACTCTCACAGGTCTGCATATCCCCTCGTTCTCCAGGAACCTAGTTGGTGTCGGCTGCCTGCAGGACCTTGGCGTCACCACTACGTTCCCTGGTCACGAGCGGTATGCTGTCTGTACCGAGGCCGCCACTGGTGCCCCCCTGTCCACGTTCCCCCGGGACCCGGTGTCCGGCCTGTTCACTCTGGACACCGTGACCCCCCCGGCTGGAGCGCTCCCTCAGGTGGCTGCGTCTACCCAGGTTGCTGCTGCCTGCTCCTGTCGGTCCCTCACTCACCCGACTCTCCTTTGGCACCACCGCCTAGGTCACCGTGCGCTCCCGCGTCTGCGTCACATGTCCCAGCACAGTCTTGTCCTTGGTCTCCCAGGTTCTCTCCCGGCGTTTCCCTCCTCCCCAGCCCCACCTTGCACGCCTTGTGTCGAGGGTAGGCTTCGCCGTGCCCCTCACTCCTCCTCTTTTCCCCCTACCGCCGCGCCGCTGCAGACCCTGCACCTGGACGTCTGGGGCCCCGCCCCCGTCCCTGGGCCGCGTCGAGAGCGCTACTTCCTTGTGCTTGTCGACGACTTCACTCGTTACACCACAGTCTTTCCCCTGGAGCGCAAGGCCGACGTGCCTGGCGCTCTCATCCCCTGGCTTGTCTCTGCGCGTGTCCACCGCGGTCTCCCTGTCTTGCGTCTTCACTCCGACCGTGGTGGCGAGTTTGCCTCAGGTGTCCTTGGTCGCTTTTGTCGTGCGGAGGGCATCACCCAGACGTTCACCCTACCGGACTCCCCACAGCAGAATGGGGTCGCTGAGCGACGCATCGGTTTGGTCATGGAGGTGGCTCGCACCTCCATGATCCATGCAGGTGCACCCCATTTTCTGTGGCCGTTCGCTGTGCGCTACGCTTCTCACCAGCTTAACTTGTGGCCGCACCCCCAGCAGCCGCAGGTTTCGCCGACCCGTCTTTGGACTGGGTCTCCTGGTGACACGTCTGCGTTTCACGTCTGGGGCTGCCTTGCTCACGTCCGTGCCACCGGCACGGACAAGCTCACTGCCCGAACCCTTCCATGCGTCTTCCTCGGTTTTCCTCTTCACGCGTCCGACTGGCACTTTTACCACCCGCCGTCTCACCGCTTCTTTCACTCTCGCGACGTCACCTTTGACGAGTCCGTTTCTTACTACCGTCGCTTCCTCCACCGCGGTCCCCCGGTTACCCCCCCCCTGTTCCTGGTCACTCCTTCCCCGGTAGTCCCTGCCCCTCCCCCTCCTCCTCCCCGTCCTGCCCCCTCTGGTGTGTCCCACGTCACCCCCCTTCCGTCGGTGGACCCGGTTGAGGAGTCTTCTGACTCTGGTGGCCCTCCTGCGCAGTCCTCGTTGGCCGCCCCTCCACCAGCGTCCCCTCCCCAGTCCCCTCCTCCACCGCCTCTGCCGCCGCTGCAGCCGTCGAAGTCGCTGCCGCCGCCGCCGCCGCCGTCGCAGCACCCGTTCGCTGACTTTGGGGGTGCTAGTACCGGTAGCCCTGGGGGTGGTTCCTCTGGGGGTGCTGGTGTGGAGTGTGCCGGTGGTAGCCGAGGAGCAGCTTGCAGTCCCGGTGTCGCCGTTGTGCCGCCGGAGAAGCAGTCCCCGACGGTGTCCGCCCTTCGCCTGCTCGGCCTTCCGTCCCCTGACCCTGCGGCTGTTCCTCTCCGACCGTCTCCTCCTCTTCCTGTCTACGGCCCTGTGTTCCCTCCGCCGGACTCGTCCCCGGCCCGTCTTCCCCCTCGTTCCCCTCCTCTGTCCCCTCCCCTGTCTCCTGACCCGACTCCTCCGTCGCACGTCTGGTCTCACCGTCCCTCCCGTGCTCGTCCTGCCTCGCCTGTCTTGCGCTCCCACCCTATGTTGCTTGACGCTCGTATTCCGATCTCGTGCCTTGACGCTCTTGTAGCTGCGGTCGCTGACTTCGCCTCTACCCGCCGCCTTGACTACGCCACCGCTCTGGTCTTTGACCCTGCTTGTCCTCCGTCTGTCGGGGGTGCTCCTGCCCTTGGCAGTGACGTCCTGGAGGACCGCCAGTTCGAGCTTGCTTTCCTGTCCAAGGCTGCTCCCCATCTCTGTTCCATGCTACTAGTCCCTGAGGGTGACCCAGACGCTTTCGACATCCCGACCCCTCGCACTTACGCTGAGGCGACCTCGGGACCTTGGGCCAACCAGTGGATAGCTGCCATGGAGCAGGAGATGGCATCTTGGAGATCCACCGGCACCTTCGTCGACGCAGTTCCCCCGCCTGGGGTGAACGTAGTCGATGGCCGCTGGCTCTTCAAGGTGAAGCGCCCTCCTGGAGAGCCGCCTGTGTTCAAGGCGCGCTACGTGGCTAGAGGCTTCAGTCAGCGTGAGGGGGTGGACTTCTTCCAGACCTTCGCTCCGACCCCGAAGATGACTGCTCTTCGGGTTGTGCTACACCTAGCTACTCAGCGTGACTACGAGCTTCACTCCCTCGACTTATCCACTGCCTTCCTTCAGGGGAGCCTACATGAGCAGGTCTACTTGCGTTGCCCTCAGGGCTTTACTGGCACCTTCCCTCCTGGGACCCAGAGGCTCGTGCGGTGCCCCGTCTACGGCCTGCGCCAGGCTCCCCGTGAGTGGCACGACACTCTCTGTGCTACGCTTGCTGACCTGCAGTTCTTTCCGTCTTCCGCAGACCCCTCACTCTTCGTTCGTGCTGGCCAGACTCCGTTCTACATCCTTGTTTACATCGACGACCTGGTCTTTGCCACAGCAGACAGGGACGCAATGGCCTCGGTAAAGGCAGAGCTGCTGAAGAGACACACGTGCACTGACCTTGGAGAACTGCGCCGCTACCTTGGCTTGCAGATCTCCAGGGACAGAGCAGCGCGCACCATCACCCTGACTCAGTCACACTTGGTGCGCCAGGTCCTTCAGAGGTTCAGCCTTCAGTTCTCCTCTGCACAGCCCACCCCTCTGCCTGTAGACCACAGACTCTCCGCTCCAGTGTTTGAGGAGTCGGTTGAGCCCAGCGGCCCCTACGCAGAGCTGGTGGGTTGTCTCATGTACCTGATGACTTGCACTCGCCCAGATCTCGCATACCCTCTCAGCATCCTGGCTCGCTTTGTGGCCACAGGCAGACACCGACCGCAGCACTGGTCTGCCGCTAAGAGGGTTTTGCGTTATCTTGCTAGTACATCGGGCATGGGGTTAGTGCTAGGAGGACGCAGGCCAGTGGTCCTTACTGGACACACCGACGCTTCGTGGGCAGACGACGTCGAGACACTCAGGTCTACCCAGGGCTACTGCTTCAGCCTTGGCTCAGGTGCCGTCTCGTGGAGAGCTACCCGCTCCTCGTCTGTTGCCCAGTCCAGCTGTGAGGCCGAGATCTACGCTGGTGCCATGGCGGCACAGGAGCTCCGCTGGCTGACCTTCTTGCTCACTGACTTAGGTGAGCGGCCTAGCTCTGCCCCGGTCCTGTTCGCTGACAACAGGGCCATGATCCTCCTGTGTCAAGAGCCTCGACTCGAGGGCAGAGCGAAGCATATTCAGCTGCGATACTTCCTCCTGCGCGAGCTACAGCAGCGACGCCAGGCTCGCGTAGTACACTTGGCCTCAAATGCCAACACAGCTGATATCTTTACGAAGGCGCTTGCGCCTAAAGATCATCAGCGGCACTGCGTACAGCTTCGTCTAGTCCCTGTAGCCTCTCACTTGCTAGGGCCTTGACTTTGTACTGCCCTTTATATGTATACTCAGACTGGACTTGTGTCCTCTCCCAGTGGCTGGACTAGAAGTGTCGCCCTTGTCTTGTTCTTGCCTTGTCTGTACTCCTTCTGACTGGTCTTTTAGACCCTTGTCTCAGAGGTTGGACTAGTAGTGCCGCCCTGAGCTGCTTGTTCAGGACATTCCCCTATGCAGTCTAGGGGGTGTGTCAAACATGTGTATTTGTTATGTTTGCATAGACTGTATAGGGTCACCTCTTAGAGGGTACAATACTTAGGTTTATCTATCTCTACTCTCCCACTAGTTATCAATCACTTCTCTCAACTCGATACTCCGGGCCTTGCTTCGTCACTTCGAGACCCTTCGACCTCTTTCCCAAACCTTACCATCGCATGGATAGACTAGCTCTGGTGTTCCTATATCTTGGCTTGCCATTCCCTTTATCGTCATTCAGTGAGTGAACACTTAGTAATTCATTTCCGCGCTACTGTGCTTGTTCATTCATAACACATAGCCTCCACCTTTGGCCTTCCCCGAGGATCTTCTCAAGGGTAACCCCAACGGGTCACTCGACAAGCGGAGGCTAAAGCAAGAGTATTAGCTCAGCACACTAATTGCTTCGTTTTAGCTTCAGGACTCTTCAATTGTAGTGCATATGGGTACACTGCTGCCAACCAAATGTTTTCCAACAGGAGTGCAATGGTAGAAGGTTCTCCATAATGTATTGATGGGCCATTTTATTTCACAATTATCATACAATTGTGAGAAAGCACGATGCTATCTCAAACAAAGGAACCCACCCAGTAGCGTAGCGCCACAGCAGCCCTCCCAGAATCCCTCTCACCATTGCCACCCCACCCTCTCACAGTGCCAACAGTTTCCTCGCATTTTATTCCTTCAAGCTGCTTCATCCAAGCATTACGGGCCGATCCAAGTAGTGATTTCCTGCCGGAGATTCTCCCTTTTCCGTGTGACCTGACCCCATTGCGGGTAGATGGTGGTGCAGTGCCCAATGGTGCCAACGAGGAAGAACCCGAACGTGGGCTTGGCGCGCAGCACGGCGCGGATGCGCATAATGGACCGCCGCGAGTACGTCTGAATCGCCGCCAGCTCCGCCGACGAGCACCCGCCGCCGCTGCTGCTGCTGTTGCTGCTGATGCTGTCGCTGTTGCGCTCTTTACGGTCTCTCCAGTGGTTGCTGATGCTCGCAAGCTTGCCGTGAGTAGACCCCGCAGCACCTGCTGCCATCACAGCACCTCCCCCTTCCCCCCCCACAGCATCAACGGCAGCAGCAGCAGCAGCAACACCGCCACCACTGGCAGCAGCAGCAGCAGCAGCGGCAGCCTTGTTACTAGCGAAGAGCTGGTTCATGCAGTGCGTGATGCGCGAGGTGGAGGAGGCGTTCTGGCCCTGGTTGGCGATGTCGATGGCGGCATAGTCAGCGATGGAGTTCACCACGAACACGGGCCGCCGCACGAAGAACAGGTTGTTCTGCGGGAAGAAGCACTTCCACACCTGTGTGCCGTACGCTGGGGGGGGAGGAGGGAGGTGGGGGGCGGGGGGGTGGAGGTGGGGAGGTGGGGAAAGGGAGCAGGAGGGGTTAGGAGCAGGAATGGAGAGACTCGGCGAGAGGATGAGGAGGGAGAGAAGACGCAGGGGCTGGGGACAAGCAGAGGCTGGGCGTGGAGGTGGAGAGGGAGGCGGTATGGGTGGGTGGCTGGGGATGATGACAGCATTCATGGGCCATGGGATGTGGCACGGGCCATGGGATGGTGCATGGGTCAGGGATGGTGCATGGGTCATGCAATGGGCCATAGCACATGGGATGGGGGCCCGATTATTTTCATGATCCGAGTACAGGGAGGAAGTTGCAAGGAGAGGGGAGAGGGGAGAGAGGGAAGTACAACTGCGGTGAACCGCACTCACTTCGTCGGCAGTCGGGATCAACAACCGGCTTATGCATGGCGACGATCTCCTTGGCGACGCTGCGGAAGTACTTCTGCCCCGTCACGTCGTCTGCGTCCAGGAAGAACCCGCCGTCCATGAGGCACTTCACGGCCGCGCGCGGCACTGCGGCGCCCACGCGGTTGCACACGGCGCTCACCGCCTGCCCTCCCGCGGAACACCCGCTCAGCACCACCTTGGCGGCCGCCGCCATGCCGCGCCGCGCCGTCAGCTCTGAGGGGATGGGAAGAGAGAAGAGGGGAGGGGGAAGGGATTGAGTGCCCCCCGCTTATAGGCGCTCAGCACCACCTTGGCGGCCGCCGCCATGCCACGCCGCGCCGTCAGCTCTGGGGGAAGGAGGGGGGGAATGTGAAGAGGCTAGAGGACAGGAAGAGCGGAGAGTGGGGTTAGGGAAGTTGGGAGAGGAGCGAGGTGTAGAGCAATGAACCGTGCCCATTGTGCACAGGCCCACTCACATTCACACTCACTGTCCCTCTTGCAACCACCGTACCGTGCAGCACCTTCCACACACCCACCTCACAACCGCCCACATCGTCACACTTCGTATCCCTGGTCACACCTCGCATCCCCCCTCCATAATCACACCTCGCATCCCCCCCCATAATCACACCTTGCATCCCCCCCCATAATCACACCTCGCATCCCCCCCCCATAATCACACCTCGCATCCCCCCCCCATAATCACACCTCGCATCCCCCCCCCATAATCACACGTCGCATCCCCCCCCCATAATCACACGTCGCATCCCCCCCCCCATAATCACACGTCGCATCCCCCCTCCATAATCACACCTCGCATCCCCTCCCCATAATCACACCTCGCATCCCCCCCCCATAATCACACCTCGCATCCCCCCCCCATAATCACACCTCGCATCCCCCCCCCATAATCACACCTCGCATCCCCCCCCCATAATCACACCTCGCATCCCCCCCATGATCACACCTCGCATCCCCCCCCATAATCACACCTCGCATCCCCCCCCCATAATCACACCTCGCATCCCCCCCCATAATCACACGTCGCATCCCCCCCCCATAATCACACGTCGCATCCCCCCCCCCCATAATCACACGTCGCATCCCCCCTCCATAATCACACCTCGCATCCCCTCCCCATAATCACACCTCGCATCCCCCCCCATAATCACACCTCGCATCCCCCCCCCATAATCACACCTCGCATCCCCCCCCCATAATCACACCTCGCATCCCCCCCCCCATAATCACACCTCGCATCCCCCCCCCATAATCACACCTCGCATCCCCCCCCCCATAATCACACCTCGCATCCCCCCCCCCATAATCACACCTCGCATCCCCCCCCAATAATCACACCTCGCATCCCCCTCCATAATCACACCTCGCATCCCCCCCCATAATCACACCTCGCATCCCCCCCCCCATAATCACACCTCGCATCCCCCCCCCCCATAATCACACCTCGCATCCCCCCCCATAATCACACCTCGCATCCCCCCCCCATAATCACGCCTCGCATCCTCCCCCCCCATAATCACACCTCGCATCCCCCCCATGATCACACCTCGCATCCCCCCCCATAATCACACCTCGCATCCCCCCCCATAATCACACCTCGCATCCCCCCCCCATAGTCACACCTTGCAGCACGGCGTCAACGATCCGCGAGCCGTCCGAGTAGAGCGCGGTGGTGCGGTTGACGGCGATGCACTTTGTGAGTCAACTCTTATCACACCACAGCACAAGTCGCACCTTGCAGCACGGCGTCGACGATCCGCGAGCCGTCCGAGTAGAGCGTGGTGGTGCGGTTAACCGCGATGCGCTGCCCGCTGCCCGCGAAGCCCCCCCCGTCGCAGTAGAGCACCATGACGGTGTTCCAGTTGAAGAACGCTGGGTTCTCCTGCGCGCTCGCGCTCAGCATGCCGCGGAACTCGGTGCCGTACTTGCGCAGCTGGGGGGGGAGCGGGCGGGCGGGCGGGCGGGCGGGCGGGCGGGGGGAGGGGGAAGAGGGGGAGAGGGGGCGGGGCGAAAGGGAGCGGAGGTTTGGTAGGGCAAGAAATAGAGACGGCCCCATACCGCACGATACCCCACCATGCCCAACCGTATCCCACCACGCCGTGCGATGCTGCAGTGCCATGCGGCTGTGTGCCGTGACTGCGCTGGGCGCAACGACACGAGACAGACTTGGGAGCACTCGGGACACGCCATAACGATGATGAAGATGATGAAGACGATGACGATGATGACGATGATGACGATGCCCTGGTTGCCTACCGTGGGCTCGAACGCGGGGTCCGAGGGAGGCTTATAGAGGCGCGTGGTCCCCAGCACGGTGCTCGCGCGATACGCGCACCCCGTGGCGCTGTAGCACCACCCGCCGCCCTGCAGGTATATCAGCCACTTGTTCGCCCCCGCGCCGTTCCCCTGCCGGTGGTAGAACCCCGGCGGACTGCGCGGGTGTGGCGAGAGGCGGACAGGCAAGCAGGGAGAGGAAGCAGGCCAGGGAGTGCGAGGAGCGCGGGGAGTGAGAGGAGCGCGGGGAGTGAGAGGAGCGCGGGGAGTGAGAGGAGCGCGGGGAGTGAGAGGAGCGCGGGGAGTGAGAGGAGGGTATGATGTTGGGGATGGCATAGCACGATGCGTGGTAGGATGGTGAGAATCAGGTCCACAAGAGCACCGACCTGCCGTCCAAGCATCGCGCGCCGTATCGACTCGGCGGAAGCAGCACCAGGCTCGTGCTCCCCGCTCCCCCGCCGGCGGGAGCGGCGGCGGAGAGGAGCGGAAGGGACGCGGCAAGCGCGAGGACGAGGAGAGATAGGGCGGGGTTGAGAGGAGGGACGGTGTGATGGTGACGACTGCTGGGCGGCGGCATGTGGGGGAGGTGCGATGTGGTGCCGGGCATGGGGATTGAGCGGCCGCGGGGAGTGGCGGGGGCAGGAGTGGGAGCGGGAAACGGGCACGAGAGACAACAGGAGTGATGAAGACAGATAAAGCAGGAGCGAGGAAGGAAGGGGGAGGAGGGAGAAAGGCCGTTGGGACTCGTTGCACAAACTAGCGAGGAGGGACTCAACGATTCGACGCAACGGGGGATTTGAGAGGTGAGACGAGCTGCCAACTGAGAACAGGACAGATTCTGTGCACTGCCTGCGGCAGCGTCCTGTAATCGAGAGAGTGCGACGCGTGGGGCGGCCACAAGGGAGAGTGGAAGGGAACTAGAGTGGGGCACGAGAGTTGCCTCTACTGGGATTGCGAAGCTACTTCGATGGAGGAGGAAGGTGGAGCACAAGAGGTGCGCCTAGCAGCAAACTGCGTCGGAAAGAGCTGACTATCTCAGATTCGCGTGCGAGCTACGAAGATGGAAACAAGATACAAGTCAAACTAGTGTGGATTTCCAATATATCATCGACGCGGGAGTGTGCGACGCACAGAATTTGCGAGCCTGTGCAAACTCGCCCCAACGCAAGGTATGGGCTTCGACAGCAAGCACGCCCCAGATGGAAACTATGAGCGGTGGTAGGTGAAGTCGGTCCTTAGGCAGATGCGATGCACAGTGAACACTCCACGCCGCGAACTGCGGTGGGAAGGGGCGCTCGGTTCTGCTGCAAGGAGTTGCACGTCGGGTGCAAGGTGTGTGGCTTGGGGCGTGGGAGAAGGAGAGCGCAGGTGAGTGAGTGTGGGGTCGCGATTTCAAGGCTGGAGGAGAGGAGAGTGCTCTGGACTGGACTTGGCCAAATAGGGCAGAAGGGCATGGAGCAGTTCATTCACTCTGGTTGGGCAGTTGGAGAATAATGCACGCTGGTTGGTTGAGCTGAGCAGGTTGAGACGAGCAATGACCGTTCGATCGGCCCATGAGATGCATCGGATGGCTCTCCCGTCATAGTTGCGATGGGTGCGAATGAAGGGATGGGGTGGAACGTGGGGAAATGTGTTCTTCCCATGTCCTCGCATGTCGCGTCCCGGATGCCCAAGTCCGAGCCGCAAATGCCACTCGACCGCTCCGTCATCTCCAGCCTAGTGTACATTCTTCATTTACATACAAAGATTGCAACTACATTGCGCATTTCATCAATCAAGAAAGTGGGTTACTGGTCACTCCCTATGTCGAAAGCAATTATCGCCTTATTGACACGCATATTAGCAGTACACGGGGAAAACTATACATTCATAATCAGTATAGATTATCTAATTAGTTCATGAGCATGGCACCTCCCTCACCTAAGAATAGTACCAATCCATGAAAGAATTCTTCAATGTGTTGGCGATGGCACTGGTGGTGGTGCTTCCATACGTGGAAGTGAGTCGCTTATTACCGATGGTCGGCTGGTCTGTAGACTTCAGCTGGCTCCAGAGAGCATCACCCATCACACAGTGCGTTGACTGCGTGTAAGTAAACGCTTTAAACTGCACATTTGCTGCAGCGCGGTTGTTAGAAATCTCATCCAGCGACGACTTAATCGACTGGGAGAAGCCCTGGAGAAGTGTAAGCTGCTGCGGGGTGCACTTGGCAGGGTTATAGTTAGCAGAGAGGCACTTTATGACAGGGTTACTCCGCTTCTTGGAGCGAGGAGCCAGGGAGAGAGCCACTCCCTTGTAGTCCGCAAGCGAGTTAACAACGAAGGTGGGAGTCCTGATGTGCTTGAGGTTGTACTGCGGGAAGAAGCACTTCCAAGTCTGCCCGGGGTTTGCTGTTGGAGGACATGGACAGCGGGATGTGGGCGACAAGGATGGTGGTGTAAGCAACTGTGTATAAGGGCATGGTGGGCTTGCTCAGCACGCAACTGACCAGTGGTGTAAGCGTAAAGAGAGCCCATTCAGCGAATCACTGCCACGCTTAATGCCACTGCCACTGCCACTCTCTTTTGCTGACCGTCTGACTGACTTGCTGACCGACTGACTGACTTGCTGACCGACTGACTGACTTGCTGACCGACTGACTGACTTGCTGACCGACTGACTGACTTGCTGACCGACTGACTGACTTGCTGACCGACTGACTGACTTGCTGACCGACTGACTGACTGGACGACTGACTTGCTGACCGACTGACTGACTTGCTGACCGACTGACTGACTTGCTGACCGACTGACTGACTTGCTGACCGACTGACTGACTTGCTGACCGACTGACTGACTTGCTGACCGACTGACTGACTTGCTGACCGACTGACTGACTTGCTGACCGACTGACTGACTTGCTGACCGACTGACTGACTTGCTGACCGACTGACTGACTTGCTGACCGACTGACTGACTTGCTGACCGACTGACTGACTTGCTGACCGACTGACTGACTTGCTGACCGACTGACTGACTTGCTGACCGACTGACTGACTTGCTGACCGACTGACTGACTTGCTGACCGACTGACTGACTTGCTGACCGACTGACTGACTTGCTGACCGACTGACTGACTTGCTGACCGACTGACTGACTTGCTGACCGACTGACTGACTTGCTGACCGACTGACTGACTTGCTGACCGACTGACTGACTTGCTGACCGACTGACTGACTTGCTGACCGACTGACTGACTTGCTGACCGACTGACTGACTTGCTGACCGACTGACTGACTTGCTGACCGACTGACTGACTTGCTGACCGACTGACTGACTTGCTGACCGACTGACTGACTTGCTGACCGACTGACTGACTTGCTGACCGACTGACTGACTTGCTGACCGACTGACTGACTTGCTGACCGACTGACTGACTTGCTGACCGACTGACTGACTTGCTGACCGACTGACTGACTTGCTGACCGACTGACTGACTTGCTGACCGACTGACTGACTTGCTGACCGACTGACTGACTTGCTGACCGACTGACTGACTTGCTGACCGACTGACTGACTTGCTGACCGACTGACTGACTTGCTGACCGACTGACTGACTTGCTGACCGACTGACTGACTTACTTGCTCACTGACTGACTGACTGACTGACTGACTGCCTTGCTCACTGACTGACTGACTGGCTGACTGACCTCGCTGGCAGTCGCCGTTGATGCCAATGCCGCTGAAGCTCTGCAGCTGCGACAAGCGCTCCACCTTCTCCCGCAGCGAGTACCGCCCCTTGTAGTCCTCTACGTCTGCCCGAGCCACCATCAGATGGTGAGGGCAACAGGGTTGCACAGCAGTGATAAGTGGCAATCAGTATCGGTGCAAGAGCGACTTCAATGGCATGTATCTAAAACGCCATTGGCGGAGCAACACGCCACATGAGGCACTCGGTGTATCGGCGTAGGGTACTACCTGGGATGAAGCCGGCGTCCATGAGGCACTTGGTGTTGAGGCCGAACGGCTTGAGCTGCCCCGCGATCTGGTCGCACAGCATCGACACCGCCACGGCGCCCGCGCTGCACCCCGCCACCAGCACGTCCGTGCCCTTGCTCATGCCGCGCCGAGCCAGCAGGTCTGCCCGCAGGGAGTAGGAACGGAGTAGAAATAACCATGTAAGGCCCGGCGCAGAGGACTTTATGAAGAAAGATAAACGGAAGGCGCCGCCCATGGGCCAAGTGGCATGGAGCAACACGCCTTCGCTCGCCCTCCCCTTCCCCTTCTCCGTCCCCTTCCCCCTCCCCCTCCCCCTCCCCCGTACCTTGGAGAGCGAGTCCTTGAGGTTCCAGTTGCCGAGGAAGAAGACCGTCTGGTTGGCTTTGACCCGCGCCCCACTCCCGCTTCCCCTCCCGCTCCCCCTCCCCCTCTCCCTCCCCCCTTCCCCTTGACCTCCCCTTCCCCCTCCCTCGTACCTTGGAGCGAGTCCTTGAGGTTCCAGTTGCCGAGGAAGAAGACCGTCTGGTTGGCCTTGGTGCGCGCCATGCCTGAGCCGCCCGCGAAGGAGCCGCCGTCGCAGTACTTGATGGACGCCACGTTCCAGTTGTAGAACCCCGGGTTGTCGCGGCTGCTCGGACTCACCACGCCGTTAAACTCCACCTTCTGCCGGGCGGAGAGACCAAGGGGAGGGTGGGGTTCGGGGGGCGGGGGAGAGAGAGGAAGGGGTAGAGTGGACGGGGAGGAATAGTTGGACTCTGTACCCTTCGAGAGGGACGGGAAGAGCTGGCGGCGGAAGGTTGTGGGCGGAGAGCGAAGGAAGCGGGGAAGGGGAAGAGCGGGGTATACTCACGCGCTCCTTGGGCCACAACTTGGAGCTCCCGAGCATGCCTTTCGAGCGCACGGCGCACTGCTTGAGGCTGAAGCACCACCCGCCGCCCTGTACACGCGCATCATGGACGAGCAGGGCACGGGGCATGAGGCACGAGGCAAGGGGCATGAGTACAGAGCACATCGGCAGGGAGGGAGTCAAGAGTCAAGCTTACTGCAGACGCCCGATTGCTTGCTCTGAACGCCAAGTCGAGCTCAAGTCGAGCTCAACTCGACCTCAACTCGAAGCTATGGTATAGCGAAAAACGGAAATCCTCGTATTGCACCTTTGCAACGGATCGTGCGTATTGCGAAGAAAAGGAGAAATAGAAAAAAGTTGGATCAGTCAAACCTCTAGGAAAATGATCCACTTCTTAGCACCAGTGCCGAAGCCCGGACGATGGTAGTATCCCGGGGCGCTGAGAACGGGCGACCCAGTCGCGGGGAAGGGCAGTCAGCAAACCGCGAGGAGCAGAACCGTGTTAGTGAGAGCAAGAAGCACAACAAAACAATACGATGCACAACGCGCTTGTGAAAAAATACAGTCAGTCCCTGACGGCAACAGAACGACAGAACGGCAGCACGACGGATGGTAGCATGAGGCATGGCAGCACGACGCACGCGCCTCATTCCGACGTACCTGCCGTCCAAGCAGCGCCCTTTAATAGAATCCCCCGACAGCAAATACAACTTGGTGGTTGCCACCGTCGCACCGCCAGTACCGCCAGAGCCGCTGCTGCCGGTGTCACTAGGCGGGGGGGTGGGGCTCGGTTTCGGCTCCGGCTTTGGTGCCGGGGTAGCCGGGCGGGGCTTGGGCTTCGTGGGAGACGGGGACGGGTTGCGCCCTGTGAACGAGCCTCCTCCGCCGCCGCTGCTTCCGCCGCCGCCGCCGCCGCCACCTCCGCTACCGGGAAGATCGTCCCTCTTTTTGAAGCTGGTCTCGGAGTCATTCTTGCCGGCACCGCCGCCGCCGCCGCCGCCACCGCCGCCGCTTGACGGGGCTGGACGCCGAGGAGCAAAGCTCACACCATTGCCAGATGTGAGATCGTTACCGTTACCGCCGCCGCCGCCGCTAGACGGGGCCGGAAGTCGAGGAGCAAAGCTTACGCCGCCGCCAGACGTGAGCTCGTTATCGCCGCCGTTACCGTTATCGTTTCCGTCTCCGCTGCTTCCGGGGCGGGGCATGAATGAGACGCCAGAGCCGCCGTTGCTACCGGAGTTGGTATCGGAATCACCGCTTTGGTAAGGCTCGTTACGACGGTACGTCATGCTGACGCCCGCAAGGGGATCGGACGGGACTTGAACGGAGCATACGGCGGGAGGGATCTCGTGAGAGAGGAGTATGAGGAGGGAGAGGAGGATGAGCGGTGCACGCGGCGAGGCGCGACGGTCAGGGGGCGAGGGAGTCATTGTTAGGGATGCTTGAACGCGACGTTCAGGGCTGTAGGGGGTGCGTAGAGTAGAGAGATGCGGGAACTGAGCGCTAAGGGGCGACGAAGGTCTTGTATAGTAAACTATGCAGCTAAGGTTAGCACGGGAAAGGTCAGGCTTAGATGGTCGAGTTCTGTGCCCAGTTTATCAACACAAGTATCATGCTTTGGTGCTGAGTGCTGGAGGTGCCCAGGGCGAGACCAGAGACCATGCGTGTTGAGGGTACCCAAAAGGCTGGGCTGGGCACGCACGCCGTCTTTCGCCAGTGACGGCGCCATCACGGAAATTGTATGCTGTGTTTGATGGGCACCATCAGTCGGTTTCTTGGAGGGGGGCTGGTTGCGGGCTGGGGATTGAGTGGGCAAATGTCTCAGCGAATTGATCGGAGGCGTGAGGGGCATGGCACATTACTTGAATGCAGGGGATTGAACTCCGCGCCGCGCATCGATGGCGCTTCGCCTTCGCGTTGGGGGCTCCCTGCCGTGTCGCGACTCGCCATGTCACCCTGGGAGGAGGGCACTGGTTCGATGAGGGGCGAGTATCTGGCAATGTGCTCACGGTTCAGGTAAGGGACAGCCCTCGAGGGATTTGCGGACCGTAAGTGTACAACCTCTCACATATGTAGGAAAAGGGTGGTTGAATAAGATTTAAAGCGAGAGACTATAATAGTTACCCCCCTTTCTAGTTGGGCCCAACTAGAAACGACCCAACAGTGAATATGTTTTTGGAGGGGCGGGCAGCAGCCCCCGTTTTTTACCAAGCCGTAGGCCACGAAATCGAATTGCGCTTGCGACATTTCGCACTGGCGACAAATTTTACGACCATAGATTTGCGTGGTTAGCATTTCGACCAATCGGGGCCCAGCCTCAGTTTTGCTGGAGTAGTGAACCCGGGTCCAACTTGAAATTCAAGTTGGACTCACTTGGTGCAGCTTACAAGCAGTGGGGGCTGGGCGACAGGTGGCGCGCTGCTTGCGATTTTGCCCGGACCATTTTCCACACTGTACGACATGTTTTCCCTGCCAACCAATCAGGTAACTGCATCTTCTCGCCCAGTTTCCTCTGCTTGCATTTCTAGACAGTGTACCCTCTGCCCCATCGCAGTCAGTCGCAAAAACGGACGTCTGGGCCTTTTCAAGTTGGACCCGCCTTCACTATTTTGACCTCTCACTTTAAACGGGTAAACCTGCAATAGAGATTTTTTATAGAATATCAAATCGATATATACATATACATATATATATCAGGAAGAAAAACGGGTGTCGTCACATATTGTAAAATATCCTTCTCTATGCACTTTTCTAAATGGATCATAAGTGTTGTTTCGAAGTGCTCCTTCTACATCATACTGCAACGAGAAGTCGACCAGTGGTGTTGTAGACTAGTCCCTCAGATGATGTCTTGTACTGTAGTGACGGTTTGTGGGCGGCTATGCATTAAAGAGTTCATGCACGCCAACCAATGCTGTTTCAGCCTTCGTCGTCAATACCCTCCAATTACAGCCATTAGAACGTTTGAACCAATCGGATTGGCATTTTCCTCACTTGGGCAGCATGGGCAACAGCCTTTGTCTTTAGAGAAGGGAAAGGCGAGGAACACCCAGGCCAAAAGCGGAGAACACCAGATTCTCTGACCCATCGCAGGCTCGGGAAGACAGACAGCATCAGCTCTGCCTCCACGATTGGTCATGGCCCCCCAGTATGGCCAGCGTTCTGGGCGCACCCACGAATGGGAATTCCGCGGAGTCCACGGAGGCTTCGAGGTTTGGCCCGAACATGTGGCTTGGGTGAGCTCCTCGTAACCTGGGGTCATCGGTCTGTTTGCCCCACGATTGGAGGAGCCTCGAGCCCATCCCTCGACATGCTGCAACCTTTCCCATTGATGCCTGAGCATTCCTGCCTTTTTGGCACCACATTTTGAAACAAATAGGCGCTGAATCAGAAAATTCACGCATGCCACACTTTGCTTCCTTCCGTTCGAACCTGAAGCCTCCTCCTTGTTTGTGTGGTTTTCCATCCAGGGAAAGGGGAAAAGGTGGCGCCGCGATCAGGTGTGGTGCAACAAATGCGTTGCATTGCATAGAATGTGGGGCCTCGGAATCTGGCCCCTCCCTCACATAGCAGACGTGTCGTAATGCGCATTTGAGGAAAAGCAACACAGCATTTGGTTTTGAATTGAAGCCAAGCCAAGAGCCCAGCATACACTGTGCCCCAGGGGCCCTGTTCTGTAGGGATATGCTCGATAGGTTTCTTACCACATGGAAGTTGCTTTGGCTGTTTCTTAGGTTGCCGAGCTTGCGAAATTGCAGATTTTAGTCGCAAAAGAGCTAATGGTCTGATTGTGGGGTTTGCCAAGGGCATGGCAAACATTTTGACGAGTCCAAACTTGTCAGAGGGCACATCGAAAAGAAGATTTCAATTTTTGTAACCAGCCAAAATCGTCTGGGTAAACTATTTTTCGTATATTGCGTTGACCTGAGTATTTCTAACCAAGATACCTTTTTGTCTTGAGGCGTCTATGATCTGCCCGAAACAAGCTGTTTCATGCTCGTCCAGCCTTTGCGGACGAGCTGTTCAGCCGATTTGCCCGTGAAGGCTGTTTACTTGAAGTTTCCCGCGTGACAGCTTGTCCAAATCTAGTTGGCGTTCTGCGGGCAAACGTCGAACAAGATATCAAATTCGGCTCGGTTTTCTCCGAGCCGGTGGGTGCTTATCACCGAGTCTCGATAATGACTCCGCAACTTATCAGCGAAGCTTCTGAACCATGAATGACTTGTCAAGGGTGGCTGCAGAACAGTGCCGGAAGCGAGGACTGCCCAGCCACCATGCAACTTGATCTCACCCAAGTGAGCTTGCCTGACTTCTGTTTCCTCGCTGGCCCACCCACACACCTCAATCCCCGAAATCCCCTGCCGCAGCACTGTCCTCCATAAACTGTTTTCTACCACATCCCATGCAGCATCCGATCCGATCAAAGCAGGAAGGCAAGTGCACACTAACGAAACCATTACGTAAAGTGCAGCTTTTGCTGCCGTGGCAGTGCGAACCAGCACCAGCGTCGACAAACACCGCCAGCGCATCGCCGTGCTCTTGCCTCTTTGGCTGGACCTTTAGTAAGCATAGCATCTCCCGTCCCGTGTCCTCCGTATCCCTTCTTGCCGCGTCGCCATTGGGTTGGTCGTCCCTGCTCCCCCTCCGTTACCGCACGATAGGCCGTCACCTAATCCAACCGTACGCCGCAGCACAGGAAGGGATCTCTTGTCTCAAAACGAACCCCCGAGCCTGCTCGAAGGGCCTAACAGGCTCGGCATCAGGTCCGGACACGCGTGCTTCCCGTGTCTACTTGGCATCAGGGAGGGAGCGGCGGCGTTGTGTCGAGTGACGAGTGACCACAGCAAGGCCTTGGCTGGCTAATTGTGTACTTCAGAGGTAACTACTACAGTACAAGGAGCGTAGCCAAGCCACCGCCTTTTTCACAATTTACGAAGGTGATCTGAGTCGAGACAAACCCTCTCCCCCTACCCCACCCCGGCCCCCCGTCTCTCTCTCCCCCCCCCCTCCTCCACACACACTTTTTCGTCGGATTCGCACTGTCAGATGCTCCCTTGATAGATGCTCCTTGTTAGATGCTCCTTCCAACACTGAACTACTAGCAGTACTGCGGCCAACCTTTTCTACGAGCGAGTCGTCCGTCCGCCCCACTTTTAGAATGTCACCCGCTTTTTCATCGGCTTATTACTTCTAATAGTAGCCTGCTCAACACCACCTCCACCAGAGGCCGCACTGCGCAGCAAACGCCCGCGCGCTCGAACGAATATCGCCCCCCGCATTTCCGAACAGGGGAGCCCCATTATCGCCCAACTCTTTTCCCCATCAGCAGTCGGCGCCGTCTCGTTTCGTACACTCTTCCGCATTCTGTGCCGCCGCGCCGTCGTAGTGGCAGCATATAACTGAGTAGCAGTCATGGCGTACGAGCCTGTGCTCAGCATGCCCCCTCCTATCTCCTGCGACCATCACATCCGAGACGCCTCCGCCGCCGCCGCCTCTACCGCCGCCGCCGCCGCCGCCGGTGGCGGCCCCAATGGGTTCCTGGCGTCGCGGCTGATCCGCAGGAAGCTGGAAGACGTGGAGATCCGCGCGCTGGAGGGCAAGCTGCAGCTTCTCGAGACGCAGCGCCAGCTCAGCGCCGTGCGGTGCGAGCAGTTCATGCACATGCTCGAATCCTCCATGGACCGATCGTCGTCGACGGCCCCGTCATCGCCGTCTTCGCCGTCGTCGTCGTCATCCGTGTCGCCGTCGCCGTCGCCGTCGTCGGCTTCGGCGTCGGTCTCTTCTGCTTCTCCCGGCGTCTCCGAGCTGCTGTCCCCGGAGACCGCTGCTATATCGACGGCGCCTCGGGGCGCGAGGTTAGTGCTGACGGTGCCGCGAAGCGCGAGCCGCAGTGGAATGGACGGCTGGGATATTGCCGCGGAAAGCGCATCGGAAAAGGTCTCTGCGTCTCCTAGGGTCGCAGCAGCGGCAGCAGCGGTAGCAGCAGGAAGCGAGTTCAACTCGTTCGCGACGAAGACGACGACGATGTTGACGAAGACAACGCATGGCCTTAGTCGAAGTCTGAGCCACCATGCTCTGGAAATACCCCGCGGCGCGTGGGACATTCCGCACCTCTACCCTCTTCCTCCTTACCGGCGGTCGTTCGAGTTTCCCAAGAAGCCGGCGGCGCTTTCGCGAACGCCGAGGCGGCGCAGCGAGGAGGGCGGCGGCGCCGCGAGGAGGCATTGCTGCCACGGAGAGGCTGCGGAGGATGCGGGCGATGAGAGAAACGACGACGAGGAGGAGGAGGAAGAAGAGGAGGAGGAGGAGGTAGAGGAGGAAGAGGGAAAGGGAGATTATCCTGAGGAGGAAGCACGGGAGTGGAGGAGGCGCAGACGAGCTGCTGCTACTACTGAGAATAGTACCAGCCGGAGCCTTGTCTCTCCGTCCTTCCTCCTTCTCTCTCAGTCCTGCCCCACCTCGGCCTTTCATCCTCGCTCTGCGTTCAGCAGGAGCAGCAGCAGCCGCCGCGGCGGCATTCCCAGCAGCACCAGCAGCAGCGTCAGCAGCTGCAGCAGCTGCAGCAGCACCAGAAGCACCTCAGGTTTCAACCACAGCAGTGCCACCACCAGTAACCATTGCCACTGCCATTGCCAAACCCATTGCCAGGCCCACGCGTCAGGAAGCAGCAATGCCAGCAGCTTCGGCTGTTCCAGCAGCAGCAGCTTCCGTTGCAGCAGCAGCAGCAGCAGCGGCAGCAGTGGCGGTGGTGGCAGCAACTGTCTGGGCGGTGCATTTGCAGGGTGCAAGCCGCCAAGAAGCAGCAGGTCACCCCGCGTAGACACCGCCACTGCCAGCAACGGCCTCTGCTACCCCGGTGGCCCCACCCTGGCAGCCGTCTCCCCTCGTGCCACCCTCCCATTTTCGCAATACTCGCATCACGCGCATTCCCCACGCGCCCCCCCCTCGCCTCGCTGCTCCTTCTCCCCGCGTGCTGCCGTCTCTCCTCGCTCCTCCTGCTCTCCCCGCTCCTCCCACTCGTCCCGCTCTCCCCGCACCTCTCGCGGCCCTCGCAGCTCAAGGCCCGTGCGAGTGGAGCTGTTTCGACACGCCAGCTTGAGCTCCCTGCTCGAGCCCTCCTCGCCTTGACCCCCGCCGTGACCCCTGCCTTGACCGATGGACTGAAACTGCAACCTACAACGCATCTGCATCAACGAGCAACACACCTGCTGCTGCTGGCCCTTGCAGCTCAGTGCGCGCCTCGCCTCGGCTCACGGTCAGGACGAGCAGGGCCGTTTCGTTGACGTAGCCTCGAGAATCGAGTCCCTGGGAGGCTCTGCACTGCAACCCAGATTCCACTTGCTGGAGGGGACCTGGCAGTTGGGCTGGTACTGCTATTGAGTCAACTCAAGACTTGAGAGCAGAATCAGAACAAGGCTGGCACTGTGGCTGGCGCTGGGAATAAGCTGTGACTCACGGCTGGACGCGTTGGCACTACCTACCATGTTTGCCTCTGCCCCTGCCATGAGCTGCTGGTACTGCCGTGTGCAATTGTTACTGCAAGTGACTTGGGCGGATGCCACATGTGGGATGTACTCTGTTGGTAGGATAGGTCAGCCTCATACCTTACATGGCTTGTATTGTATCGTATGTACTGATGATTGGCAATCAGGCAGATTCTGCGAAGGGCACGTGCAGTGACACCAGCATAACACAGGTCAAGCAAGCAATCGGGGGGAACAAAGAAAGATGATCCGCACAACCAGATAAAGGCAAATGAAGGGATCTACTTTGATGAGAAGTTACTCAGGGTACCTGCAGTATTGTACACACACAACCACGTCAACAACAATGACGGCTAGGCTACTTAGCAGTGCGCAAGCACTACTGAGTTTGGCTACACTGATCTTCTCATACCACAGGATGCAGTGCCCTGTGTAGTACCACGTGACGTGACAGCAGTGTACGCTACGGTATATTGGAGGCGCCTCATAGGGTCGTGAATTGATTCGCATACCAACACAACGGTCTTGTTGTGGCTGTAGCGCAGCATGCGGTGCTTTTGAGTCGACTCAAAGGGATTCTCTCTCATGCAGAACAATCACAAGGCTGGCTGGCCGCCCGGCCTTCACACGAACACAATGGTCTTGTTGTGGCTGTAGCGCAGGATGCGGTGCTCGGCGTAGTACTTGACTGCAGCAGCCAGGCACTGCTTCTCAAGGATCTTGCTCTTGGCCGCAAACGACGCCAGCCCCTCCCTGTGTGACACCCGGTCCACCTGTGGGGGACAGCGGAGCGCAACAGAAGGGGGGAGGGAGTGGGGACTTGATTGACATTTGAGCTGCTCTGGCTGGTAGGCTTCTACATGTGTACGAGGGAGGGAGGGAGACAGGAAGAGAGGGAGAGAGTGAGGAAAGGAGGGGGGGGGGGAAAGAGGGAGAGAGGGAGGAAAGGAGGGAGGGAGGAAGGGAGAGCGGGCTTCTCCCGACCCACCCAAGCTGCAGCGGGCTTTGGCTCTGCAGGTCAAGGCGGAGCGCTTCACCACGCTCCTGCAGGAAGCTCGCCAGCTGCCCCTGAACCCGCTCCAGGGGCATACCCAGCACCTCCTCTCCCTTATGGGCCCGGGGGCGGGGGATTGGCTCCACGCCCTCCCCCTCTCCCCCTCCCTGCGCCTCTCCCCCGGCCACTTATCCACCGCCGTCGCCTTCCGCCTCGGCCTTCTGCACGCTACACCGGGACGCTGTGACTGCTGGCGGGGTGTCGACATCCAGGACCCCCGACTCCCCAACCACCTTCTACAGTGCGACACGGGCCCTGGACGTACCGGCACGCACCACGCCCTCCGCGACGAGTGCGCTCCGATCGCCCTCGAAGCGGGCTTCATCACCCGCACCGAGACCAACATCTCCACCCGCGTCACGAACCTCCGGGCAGACGTGGCCATCCGCCACCCTGACTGGGCGGTTTGGATCTGTGACGTGACCGTCACTGACCCCATCTCGAAGGAGGACAAGCATGCCCGCCACGGTACTGGGTGGAAGGTCCGAATCGCTGCCCGCTGGAAAGAGCGCAAGTATCGCCCGCCGGCCCGCCCCGAGTGGGTCAGTTTCTACGCCTCGGCTGCCTAGACCTACGGACTCACCTCCCCGGGGGACTTCCGCTTCCTCCGTGCCTCGTCTGTGCCAAGCTGGCCGCGAAGCGTCGGTACGACGCTGCACCTACCTCACACGAGGCCGCCAAGCTGTTCCACGAGTACCACCAACGTTGGTCGGTGACTCTGCAGCGCGGGCAGGCCGTCGCCCTCAACACGAAGATCAACCAGGCCCTGGCGGCTGAGGAAAGCCCGCTGGGCTTCCCCGCGGAGCCCCTCCCCGTGGGCGACCTGCTCCAGGTCCTCGAGCCCGACCTGGGCGACCCTTAGGGTCGCCGTGGTCTAGAGAGCTAGGCGTCTGATGCTGCCTGTGTTTGTTTTTGTTTGCTGTTTCTCTCTCTCACCTGCCATGCCTGTACCATGCCACCTACTTAATACAAGGACATATTGAGGAAGGGAGGGAGGGGGGGAGGGAGGGAGGGAGGGGGGGAGGAGGAGAGAGCGTGAGTCAGGGGGAGGGTGGGGAAGGAGTGTGGCAGCAGTGGGGAGAGAGAGGAGGACGCTCGTTCACCAGCTGTTCAATGACAGGCCCACAGTCGAGCTCATCGGAGTTTCAAGGAGACTTAAAACTCGGTGCGCACTGAGCAGAAAGCTCCCTCTCTGACTCTTATCAGCCATTCATACGCTCTCATACCAGCTGTTCTATGATGGGCCCACAGTCGAGCTCGTCCGTGACAAAGTGGCTCGTTGCTCCGATGAGCTTCACGCCAGCCTTGAACGCCTGTGCGAGGGCAGCAGGAGAAACAGGGGAGCAGCAGGGTGCTGGCTATGCGTCAGCTTTACGGGGGGGGACACGTCGGTTTTTCAGGCGCCTCTAAAATCGACTCATCTCACAGGGGTGCAGTGCAGTGCAGTGCAGTGCAGCGCAGTGCGGTGCGGTGCAGTGCGGTCGGCAGTGGAGGTGATTCTTGAGGTTTCTAAGCAAACAGCTAGTTTTCCGGCGCCTCAGAATCCAACCAGGCTTCTATCCCATACAGCAAGAAGGACAAGTGTGAGGATTACGGGGGTGAGGTGGTGAGGTGCGCACAATCGTGGAGGTAGGTAAATTCTTCTAAGGATTAACCCCAAGAAAGACGACGAAGAATTCAAAAGAGACAATAAAGGTGCTGTCGGGGAGTGTGGACGGACCTGGAGGTAGGGGTTGGCGCCCTTGAAGGAGGGCAACAGGCCGTGGTGTATGTTGATGATGTCCCGGCCATAGGCTGAAAGGAACGCGGGGGATAACACCTGGTGGTGGTTAAGGGCGGGGGGGAAGGGGCAGGATGAGGGGAGGGGGAAGATGAGAGCAGGCCACGGTGGATGATGATGTCCCGGCCATAGGCAGAAAGGAACGCGGGGGATAACACCTGGTGATGGTGGTAACAGGGAGGGGTGGAGGGGGAGTGATGGAAGATAGGGGATGAGAGGAGGGTAATGATGATGCTGATGTTGATGATGCCATTCCTGTAGGCAGAGAGGGAGGTGCTTTTGAGTCGACTCAAAAGCGTTCCTGTAGGCGGAGAGGGAGGTGGGAAACAGCACCTGGAGTTGGTGACCGATGGACGGTGACAGGAGGGAGGGGGGAAGGGGGGGTTAAAGGGGGTGAGAGAGAGAGGATGAGGCGAGGAGAAGGAGGAGTGGAGAAGGTTGACTGAAGGGGATGAAGTGGCCCCACTGGAGTGGGGGCTGGGAGGGGGAGGAACGGGGACGCCCGTTGTAAGACTAGCTCGTCGTGGAGTGTTGTTGGTGCCCTTGACGAGCTGCAGTGGAGGATGCCGCTCTATCTCTTATCATCGCCCATGGCAGCGTCCCTGGACACCTCAGTTCACACCACGCACGACAACACTAGCACCCCTCATGAACCCCCAGCGCACCTCAGCACACCGCCCCTCACCTGCATGTAGCGTGCCAAGACCAGAAAGTCTGTGTTGCTGCCTTTCACGAGCTCCAGAATGTCCCCCTCGCGCTTGTCGCCTGTGCTCGCGTCCACAGGCAGGTGGTGGAAGGGGATGCCGTGGCGCTCCAAGAACCGCCTCACATGCGTGTTCTCCCCCCGCGGGTGGTTGCTGGCGGCAATGGTGGGTAGGAATGTGAGGGAGGGAGGCATGGGAGGCATGGGAGGCATGGGAGGCATGGGAATGAGAAGGATGGCGGGGGGGAGGGGCGAAGGGAGGAGAGTGATATGAGAAGCACCGCCCGTGCGAGTTCCTGTCCAGAGGGTGGTTGCTGGCGGCATGGAAAGTGGGGAGGGAGGGAGGGAGGGAGGGATGACGAGGAAGAGTGGATGGGGGGGAATGGGGGGGAATGGGAAGGAATGGGGGGGAATGGGGGGGAATGGGAGGGAATGGGGGAATGGGGGGAATGGGGGGGAATGGGGGGAATGGGGGGGAATGGGGGGAATGGGGGGGAATGGGGGGAATGGGAGGGAAAGGGAGGGAATGGGGGGGAATGGGGGGAATGGGGGGGAATGGGGGGAATGGGGGGAATGGGGGGGAATGGGGGGAATGGGGGGGAATGGGGGGAATGGGAGGGAAAGGGAGGGAATGGGGGGGAATGGGGGGAATGGGAGGGAAAGGGAGGGAATGGGGGGAATGGGGGGAATGGGGGGGAATGGGGGGAATGGGGGGAATGGGGGGGATGGGGGGGAATGGGGGGGAATGGGGGGGAATGGGGGGGAATGGGGGGGAATGGGTGGACTTGAGGAGTGGGAAGAGGAACGAGGCAAAGGCAAGCGCTGGAAGCTGCTCGTGTGCAGAACAGCAGTGGAAGGATGAGGGACGTCTGCAGGTGAATGAGTGGGTTGGATGAACCTGTATATTAGCGCGTCATCTTTTGAGGCGCCTCAAAAGAGGGTTGGATGAAGCTGTATAGTAGTGCATCATCAGGACGCGTGGCACGGTTTGAAAGTGGGTGCAGTGCAGGGAGTAGTAGCAGGTGCAGTGGCAAGTGCGCAGTGGCTGGTGCATTAGCAGGTGCGTGCCTGATGACGCAGTGGATGTCGACGGGCAGAACCCCCTCCTGCCAGCGATATAGAAGATCCACCAGACAATGGTCCTGGTGCCATGCCATGGGGGGAACAGAGGAGGGAAAGATGGGTTGGGAGGAGGGGGAAGGGACGCGGGGAGGAAGGGGGGGAAGTAGGAAGGTGTTGGTTGTTGGTGGTCAGTAGTGATGGTGGGAAGGGAAGGGGAAGAGACGAGAGCCGTGGGACCACCTAAACAAACACCTGCTTGTTGCGGATGGCAATTAAAGACCTCTCTCAAAGTGGGGATGATGACGCAAACATGCAACTCCCACTTCCCCACTTCCCCCCCCCCTCACCCCCCCTCTCTCCTTGTTCTTCCCTTCTCACACCTCCATTTTCTCAAACGGGAGGCAGCTCTTGAGAGACACTCCCAAAAGGAGCACTCTCAAATGCGGCACTTCCAAAAGAACCACTCTCGTGGCCGCACAGCTCTCACGAGGGGCTGCTCAGCATTTAGATCACAGCACAGCATGGAGCGCCCTCACCTCAGTCCCCCCCCAACCCCCCCCATTGTTTTCACTCCCCCGCCCCCCCCCTTCCCCCCCACCTGTTGCGACGCCAGCACGGCCATGCGCAGCTGCTTGTCCGTGGCCGCGACTCTCACGAGGGTTTGCTCAGCATTCAGATCACAGCACAACAGGGAACGCCCGCACCTCGCTCATCCCTCCCTCCTCTCCCCCCCCCCCCCTCCCCCCCACCTGTTGCGACGCCAGCACAGCCATGCGCAGCTTCTTGTCCATGGCCGCGACTCGCACGAGGGACTTCTGCGCACCCAGGTCGGCTGCTAGGGACGCAAAGTCCGCCTCCATCTGCTGCCGCGGCCAGCGCGCCGGGTCAAAGGAGAACTCGCTGGGCGCGGGGGGTTGGGGAGGGGAGGAGTGAGGGAAAAGGAAAGTGAGAAGAAGCAAAAGTGGCAGCAGGGGGGAAGGAGAGAGGGGCAGTGAATGGAGCAGTGCAACTGGTAAGAAGGGGGAAAGAAAGAGAAGAGAGCTGGGAAGAACTTGAAGCAGGCACACCGGATAAAGAGAGAGCGAGAGCAGAGAGGGAGCGAGTAGAGAGAGCAGGGGAACCAGGATAATCAGGGGTCATTATAAAGTGAGCTCATGCCAGAGTAAAATGCAGGAGTAGAACACCCGTTATACGGAACCTGCGAGGGATTGGAATAGTAAGATACGCGTTTTAAGGAAGGCACCTGCGGGAGTAGAAGACGGGTGTGGGCGCCTCGAAGTCGATGTGCAGATCCACGTTGAGCAGGTTGGCGTGCCGTGACGCCACACACTCCGATATGCGCGCCACTATGCCCAGGCGGTCCTGGCAGCGAGAGACAGGCAGGAAAGCAGGCATAGGAAGAGGGGCACCGGGAGAGAGGTGGTTCCTGTGTCGCGTCAAAAGAGATGCCACACACTCCGACATGCGCGCCACTATGCCCAGGCGGTCCTGGTAGAGAGAGACACGCAGGAAAGCAGACGTAAGAGGGGGAGACCGGGGGAGAGGTGGTTTCTGTGTCGCGTCAATAGAGATACCACACACTCCGATATGCGCGCCACTGTGCCCAGGCGGTCCTGAGACACAGCAGGCACGGAGAGACATCGGATGGGGGGGGAAGGTCAGGGAAGTTAGCAGGGGTAAGAAGGGAAAGAGGAGGTGGGAATAAGGGGCTCAGGGCTGAGGTTGGCCAAGGGTGCTCTACTCTTGAACGAGGCTGGGGAAACGAGGAACGGGAGCAGAGAAATCAAGTGGGATGAACGGATGATCGGGAATGGAGGAGAGAGAGAGCTAGAATGACGATAAAGGGAGTTAAAGGGAGGTGTGAAGTCGGCATGAAGGAGGAGGGCTGGATTGCAGACGGCGTGTAGTCGGCATTCAGAATCTTATGCGTCACAAAGCGAGCAGGGCGTCGCAAAGTGCGTGATGAGCGCCTCACCGTGCACTGGAACACGTGCACGCCATGCGACCGCTGTCTGCTCGCTCCCCGTTCCGCAGCCACCGCATTCCCCCCAGCCACCTCCCCGCGACCCCCTACTGGCGCCGCGCCCACTCCGCCGACGGCCTGCGCGACTTGCGCCGCATTTAGCGACTGCTGCTGCTGCTGCAACCTCTCCGGCGACCAATCTAGCGACGGCGGGCTGACAGGCGTGGCGGGACTGGTGTCTTTCGCGGGAGGTGCGGCGGGCGTAACGGAATGCGGCGGGGAATCGAAACGGCGAAACGGGGTGAATGGATGGAGGAGAGAGTTAGCAGAGCAAAGGCCGAGCCATGGGGTTCGAGCGGAGCGAGAGCGGGAGGAGAGGGTGGCAGCAGCAGCCGCAAGCCTGGCCGCCATAACACGGATGCAGTTGGATTGAGTGGAGATGGGTTGGAGTTATCAAGGCTTTCAGTGCTGCTGCAAATCTTCAAATGTCATTCGGTAGTGCTTCGTGCTGTACCTGGCATAAGTTCCTACATGCAAACAGATTCGTGCTTCGTGCTTCAAACAGATTCTGAAGGTAAAAAGCATAAGTTAATCTAGTAATGGAAATGCATAAATACACATAAGTTAAGTTGAGCCTAAAAACGTACCGCTAGTTAGTGCCCAACTCAATCACATCCCACGCCCATCACTTGTATTGTATCCTACACATGCAGCAAACTATGAGAAACCTCAAAGCCTACTTGATCGACTCCATCCCTCCCCCCCTTGCAGCAACCCCAACTCCGGCCACCTTCTCCTTCCTCCTTGCGCCACCATCAGATCCGAGAGGGATCAGGCCGCCATCATGCGAAAACTTCATCCCGGCAGCCAGACTCATGCGCCCACGCCTGGATGCTGCCGCCCCTCCAGCAGCACGGACCCTCTGAGCCCCACCACCAAGTGCCTTCAGACCACTTGAACCCACCGCCACCGTGCTTCCCTTAAGGGCGAGAGATGGTCCTGCTGTTGGTGCTGCCACAGCCGATACCACCGCTGCTGCTGCAGCTGCTGCAATGGCTGTTGCATTCCCTCCCACCCTAGCACCACTGCCAATGAGGCTGCCACTGCCATGGCCAGCAAGCCTCCTGAGACCAGAGGGAGGAAGGCCATCAAGCACAGCTGCTGCAGCTGCTGGTCCACCTGACAGTGTCATCTTTTGCAGTGATGGCAGTGCTGATGGCGTGGGTGCAGTTAACCCTGACTTCCGCATGGCATTCTGCCTGACACTGCTGCCAAATGCAATGGGAGGAATGCCATGGCTGTGTGCAGCCGGTGCTGTGGCCTCCCCAGCAGCAGCAGCAGCAGAAGCAGCAGCTGACCCAGCTGCAAACACGTGGTGATGCTGACGCTGCACAAGCTGCTGCAGACGTGGTGCCTGCCCCCCCTCCTCGCTCTTCTTCTCACCAGATGCGTCCACACTCTCACCATCACAAACCTCCTTCTTAGCTCCTTCAGCTGCTGCTTGAACAGTGGCGTTCGGGTTGCGCTTAAGCCCCTTCGAAACATCGGCTGACTGCCTCCTCCACTCGTCATACCACTCCCGCCCAACCACCACCTTGTTCGTCCGCAACCCAGCCAATGGTGGCCTGCCAGGCTTCCGGGTCTTCACCGCCCCTCCCACATCCGACCCCGTTCCAGAAGCCCTATGATCTCCAGCCGTCCCTGCTGCTGCTTCATCCAACCTCTCCAGCCTTTCTCCAATCTCCACCCCAGCAGCATCGGTCGCAGTGGCCCTACGCAGCATCATCTTCTTAGCAGCGGGTGCATAGCCCAGCATAGCGTAGTCATCCCACGCCTCACGCCTCCGCTCCCCCTTGCCCAAGCCCCCCCATGCTCCTCCCGTGCGGCTCCCTGGAAGCACAGATAGGGACATCCTTCCAGTCCTCTTGCGCGCCATGCGCACAGCTTCAGTCACTTCTGCTATAGCAGCAGAACCACCAGCAGCAGCAGAACCACTGGCAGCAAAAGAAACACCACTTCCCGTGGAGCAAGAGGCAGATCTAACAGGGATCTTGCTCCCGAGTTGCCTTGCTGGTGCCTTGGGAACTCCAGAAGCCGTCACTGCCACAGTAGCATTCTGAGATGACCCCCCTGCAACAGCGGTTGCTGCAGGAAGCCTAGTAGTGACTCTACCTGCTCCCACCCGTTTCTCAAAAGCGCCAGTAGTCTCTCCTGCTCCACCCTTCATAGAATCCCCAGGTTGAGAGGGGGCTCTGTCACCAGCATGCTTCTGAGCCAACTCGCCCTTCTCCTCCTCGCTACCCTCCACCTCTTTGCCTACTGCTCCTGCAGCCAATGCGGAATCTACAAATGACTCCGGACGAGGACGGGATACCTCCTCCGCGCCATCATCACCAGCGGCAGCAGCAGCGGAAGCAGAAGATGCAGTAGCCACGACAGCAGAAGCACTGGCCTCCCCTGCATCGCTGGTCTGCTCCAGGCTCGCCGCATTGCAGGACGTGTGCTCGGCCTCCTCCTCCTCTGCCCCACTCGCCTGTGGCCCCTGGGAGGCCGCCTGAAGTGAGCCTGCGGAGACTGATGGCTGCTTGGAAGAGTCTGCCTTGGCCTGCTGCTGCTGCTGTTGCTGCTGCTGCGCCTGCTGCAGTTGCTGCTGTTGCACTGCCTGCTCCAGCTTGTCCATTAGGTCCTGACATTCCCTCTTGCGCTCCTGGATCTGCGTGGGTGAATCGCCACGGTTCCACAAACGCACAAACAACAGTCAGCAACCATTGAAGTGCACGAACATTCAACAGGACACGATTTTGAATCGACGATTTGCATGCACTGCGGCTACCAAGCGAAACCAGCCTGCTCTAGCCGCAGGACTCTAAGGTCACTGACTGACCTGCATCTGCAGCTCAGAGACGAGCTTCTCCTTCTCTGTGGCTGTCCGGCGCCTCACTTCCTCCAGCTCCTCGCTCTGCTTCTTGTACGCCTCCTTCACCTCCTTGCAGTCCGCCTTGGCCTTCTCCAGCTGCAAAGCAAACAAGCCCGAGCGAGCAGCATAGGTCAGAGGATGGAGTCAAACAAGTACACCACCAAGAGCACTGGCTGTGTTTCAGCAGCAGGCAGAGCACGTACCGCTTGCTTGAGGCGGGGGACGTCTGTGTGCTTCTTGTTAGCGCCGAAGTCCACCCCGCGCACCCTGCAGGCGAACTGCAGCGAGCACACGGTCTCCACGCTGTCCTTCTCACTCGGGCTGACCTGCACGAACATGAGCACCTTGGCGTTGCCTTCCAGAGAGTCCTGCAGCAGCATCGTCAGCTTGCAGTTCCTGCCACAAGGGGAGCATCAGAACACAACGCCACGCCAGACATTAACTTTCACATCAGGCAGATAAACGCACAAGAAAGCACATAAACGCCTAGCTACCGTCCTACACCACTGCAGCTAGACGGCAGCTAACCTGAAGTTGACGAAGCTGGCTCGTTTGGCGAGGGCGTTGATGACCTCTCCCAGGTACGAGAGCGACAGGTTAATGTTCTGCGCCTCCTTCAGCCGCTCTCCCTCCGCCTCGCTCTTGGCCACACGCTCACTGCCCGCCAGGTCCACCAGCCACAGGCGGCTCACTGTTGCTGCACTTGCACCCGAGGGTCCGGCGGCCTCCTTGTCCTTGCTGGAGCGCAGGAACGCCGCTGGCTGGGCGTGCACGGACACACAGACGAGGCTGCACAACCAGAACAGGGAACATGACACACGTAACAGTTAGCCACCACCAGGACGAGACGCACACACAAGGAAACAACAAGGATTGGTGACACGCACCAGTGGGATCGGCTGGAGTGCTCGTTCATGCTGGTGGCGCTGGTGGCACGAGCCTTGGAGCCGGACGTGAGCACCTTCCATGCCTCCTCCACGCTGCCCACCTCCTGCTCCACCAGCCCAGGCACGTAGTTACCGCCCTCTGGCCTCTGCTTCACCTCCAGTCCCCTGAAGAAACGGAACAGCCAAGGAGCTTCAGGTTAGCGTCTCTGTGAAGGCGATGAGACCCGAGTCTTCGCAATCAGAAGCGCTTTCTTACTTCTTGCTGGCTGGTGCAGCGTGTCCGGCGGGAGCAGGCGCGAGGAGGTCGCGAATGGTGTCGTTGTACACCTCCAGCACGCTCACCACGATCTTGTACTCCATGCTGTCCCGTCGCTCCTTGGCTAGTCGGAACAGCTCCTGCAGCGTGCGGAACGACACTCCCCTGTTGTCCGCGGGGCCCTCCATCGTGTACGTCTTCCCCGTGCCCGTCTGTCCGTACGCGAAGATGCATACGTTATATCCGTCCAGAACCGACGTAATTACGTCAGCCGCTTCCTTGAACACTTGAGCTGTTACACACGTAAACACCGCGGCCACAAGGCACGCGTTAGACAGGTTTTTCCTAGCGGAAACGCGAAAACGCCATAGAAAACGGGAACGCAGATCGTACCTTGGCCGGTTGCTGGAGAGAAGACCCGGTCGAACTCAAACACCTTGCTCTGACCGTCCTTGGCTGACCGCACCGACACCATCTGGCTGCCATGAGGGTCCGCGTCCAGCAGCACCGCCGGCTGAACACCAAATCTTTCCTCTTCCTCTGACAGCGGCCTCGCACGGCAAAATACACGGATGCTTCCTGCGAACATCGGAGGACATGTGACCACAGTGAGCGACATTGAGAGACATCGAGCGACAGTAACCGACATCGGACGATGTTGGGTGAACATACACACGGATTGCGATCAGCATAAAGTCGTCGTCGAGTAAGCGTGCGCAGCGTGTGCGCGTGTGCTGCGTGTGCGTGAAGAGGGAGCGCCATATCGTGCGACGAACCTTTGAGGTCGATCAGGTCGTTCTGTAGCTTCTTCCTCTTCTCCGCCTCTTGGAAAAACTTCTTCCTGATGGCCTCTTTCTCTTCCTCTGCAGGCACAAGCAACGAAACAGAAACCCTGGTAAGAATCGTCGCAATTTCGCAACGGAAATTAGAGAAAAAAGTGCTCAACGGATGCATACCGATCAAAGATAGGCTGCGGAAAACAGTACTGAAAGACGCGAGATGCTCGTCTTGTGCAACTGCGAGCTCCATGACCTGAACCTCCACATCCGCCTTGTCCTTGCGAAGAGCCTGGATTCAGGAAACATGACAAAGAGATAAGGATGAAATCATGCTCTACACGAAGTGCAGGGAGACCATTATCCTTGTGCAAGAACTTCGTGAAAACTTGGCCATTACCTGAAGCTCCGAATGCATCCTCGTGAGCTTCTGTTGCATCTTTTGCTGAAGGCCTTCCAGCTGCTCCTTTAACAGAGTGTTCTGACCCTCTGCCAGAAGAAAATGACCAGTTAGCCGGACTCGATGAGAAAAAAAAAAGAAAAAAAAGAAAAAGAAGAAGAAAAAAAAAACCAAAGAGGGGGGTTAAACGGAAATGGGTGAGGGGCTATTACCTGAGTCAACCAGCTTGCGGCCCTGAGCGGCTAGCTTATCCCGGACGGCCGCGAGTTCACGTTTCTGCTGCTGCAGCAATGATCTGACATTTGAGGTCTCCGACTTGGCCTTTGACAAGTCCTCCCTCACTCGGCGATTCTTCTCCTTCAACTGTAAGGCACCAGACAATCAATTAGTATGGAGCACGATGTTGGAAAATGAAGGACAGCAAGATGGATTCGAGAGCCGAGACTTGTGGAAGCACGTCTCCGTACCTCGTCAATCTTGCGATCCATGTCCATCTTCTTGGCTTCCCAGGACTTTTCCACCTCATCTCTACCGGTATTCATCTTTTGTACCACGCGTTCGAGCTGCTCCACCTTGATTCTTAGCTTCTCGCTCCGGTCCCGCTCCTCTGCCAGCTCCTCTTGTAGTTGCTGATCAGCGACCCATTTTTCTGTAAATTCGTTACGATCAAAGAAGAAACATTTTATCATTACTAAGAAAAGCATGTACGAGGAGCTGCATCACCATGGTCGAATTGTTTTCACACAAAAAATGGAGCTGCTGAACGATTGGCGAGTAGGGTTGTACCTGAGTTGAAGTTGATAGGATCGTCTTGGTCTTCACCCACAAGCTCTCCTGGAATCCCTTCGGCGGTCTCGTTATCACCCGTTGTTGAATCCACCCAAGCAGCAACGTTCACCAGTTCCTTGACATCTACATTCGCACAACCTCCAGACTCGTTGGTTGCGTCCTGTGACAAGTCGCCGTCACAGCTTTGATAATCTGACATTATAGACGGTCGATCCCGTGCATCACGAGTCGCGTCATCGTCATCATGATCCTCTTTCTGCGCATCGTCATCAGCAGCTAGCAGCAAAACACCTTTGGCTCCGCCAAGAGGACTCATCATAGGGCGGTGTGACGGCGACTCCTTCTTGACTTGCGTGGCAGATGGCGATGAATCGTCAGCTACAGTCTGTGCTAAATAAACCGTTGCTGCTACAACAGTTTCGGAATCATTAGCTGAAATGCTGGTAGCTTCTGTCCGAGAAGGAGACTGATAAGAGACAACACAGGTTGACTCACGAGCTAATGCTTCTAGAACAGTGGGACTATCGGAGAAACCGTTGGCTTTACTATCTTCTGGTTCGTCAAAGGAAGTGCTAGCGGCCTCCGTACCCATTTTTGTTTCCGGAATCTCCTCTTTCAGAATATCCGTGACAACCTCAGATGATCCTTGTGCCAGGTTCCCATCACTAATTTGGCAAGCTGGTAGTGCTTGGCAAACATTCGTCTCCTTTCCATCTTCGACTGCCATGGCCTATTTGTTTTCGCTCTGGACAGCAAGATCTTGTCCAAGGCGCTAACACTCAATGACGCCGATGAAAATGCTAAGGCTCAAGAGACAATAGCTCAGACGGACGGACTTGGACTGAAAAGCCTCCTCAGTTGATGGATTGACATAGAAAATCGCTTCCGTCTCTCTAGAACAAAACCGTGAGTGGAAACTCAGTTCGCATCCAGGAGCCAAGCACAGGAACAGCCCTATCAGTCCATCAGTGCTCGCCATCTTGGCTGTGTGTGTGTGTCTCTTCCAGTGCAAATTCAAAATTCCGTTCCTTGCGGATTCAGCCTCACTGCCAGTTAGCTCCTGCTGTCCCCATCTGCTGCTCCCTCAGCGAGTCGTGTGAGCCTGCAACCCTGCCATTCAGGTTTCCCGCGAATGACAATCCCAATGCCGATCCGGCAGAGGCGTCTGAGCAGCGGAAGTTTGAATTCTGCGCGGGACCAGCCACTGCCAGAATCCTCGCTACTAGCATTGGTACGCAATCCCCTTTATCTTGACAAGAACATCCAACTTTGTACTCCCAATATTGAAAATGACAACATTCCTGATTGATGTCCTCAACGAGGGCTTTCACTTCACACTGATTTTATAATTTTTGAAAATGAAATCATTCATTTTTCTTCTGATGATTCAACTCATCATAGAATGAGATTTGTATCACATCTCACATACTCTTGAGAATAACAATATGATCCTGCATGCTGGTACACACAAATATATGCACTTAGTGTACACTCACAGGGATATGTAGAACTACACGATGTTTGCACTACGATGTGAAAGTTCAGTTGTGCTTCAGTTCGGATGCATTCTGCTTTTGTTCATTACTCCGCCGTCCTTATCGCTCACGTCGCAGGCTCCTTGTTGTGAAAGCGCGACGTCGGTAAGTTATAGCCTTCGGACGATGACGGGTGTCGGTTACGCTGGTTCAGGTGGCCAGCAGCCAATAGCCCGAAATCAAGCTCCGCAGAAGCCGTTGTACAATAAGGAGAGACCTGATGAACATGCGAAATACCTCAAGAAGAACCACCACGAGGAAGAGACCACAGGTGAGCGGTACCCCCTCCTCCGTTATGACGCGCTGGCATTTGATGCATGCTTTCGAACCTTTTTTCTATGCGGTGTCATAAAGAGCTCATTTTTAACTCTCGAAGGTGAGAGCCTCTTCTCTAACTCGAGAAGTTCCTCTTTCTGGAGCATGCCCGTCCCTCGTTCTCTTACTCTCTGCGAGGCGGCTCTTGATCTTCCGGCTCCCTCTCGCTGTTTCATTACTTCGGCTTCCACATGGTTCCTAGGGACAGTGAAGCCCCCCCTTTTATGCTATTCCCCCCCCCCCCCCCCCCTTTTCCCCCCTCCCCCCCCCCCCCCCGCTCCCCCGGTTCCTAAATATCCTGCAGCTACACCACCCAGCCTTGCTATCAGCACATCAGCTCCTGTTGGAGATCATCGTTTGGGCCAACAACAATCTGATCTTCATCATGGCAAAGGGTCCCATAGCCACCAGAGTGGTAGCCACTTCCACAGTGTTCAAGCCCCAGTGCAGCGTCCAGACCATATTGTTCCCATAGTAGGTCCGCACTAGATTTTCTTGTTCTTTGTGCTATCAAAATGTAAAACTATTTCATTCTCAGGCTCTCCCTCTCTCTCTCTCTCTCTCTCTCTCTCTCTCTCTCTCTCTCTCTCTCTCTCTCTCTCTCTCTCTCTCTCTCTCTCTCTCTCTCTCTCTCTCTCTTTTTCCCCCCCCCCCCCCCCCTTCCCTTTCCCCCTTCATTCTTCCCCTCTCCTTCCTTTTCTCTAGTCACATCTAACCGCTGTGCCAGTGTTTCAACCCCTAGGGACCCCGTCACCCCGCTCTCCCTGTCAAACATATATGTATATGTTACTATATGCTAGATAGGTGCATACTCTTAGAGAGTACAACTCTTAGAGAGTACGTGAATGGTTTACTACAAGGGAAAACATGACACATATAGCAGTTGGGTTGTACTCACTAGGAGCACACATCGATACTAGCCTATAACTTCTACATGGATAACATGTATGAGTTGACACACCCCCTAGGCTAGAGAAGGGGTGGTGCAAGCAAGAAGCACACAGCTCAGGGTGGCACTACTAGTCCAACCACTGAGGCAGGGGTCCAAAGACTAGTCAGCAAGAGTAGAGATAAGACAAAAGCAAGCCAGGGCGGCACTACTAGTCCAGCCACTGGAGGGAAGACCATAAGGCCAGTCAGACAGGTATATATAGTAGAGAATACACAATCAGGGTCCTAACAAGTGAGTAGCTACAGGAACAAGACCAACCTGTACGCAGTGCCGCTGATGATCTTTAGGCGCAAGCGCCTTAGTAAAAATATCAGTTGTGTTGGCACCGGAGGCCAAGTGAACTACACGGGTCTGGCGACGCTGCTGTACCTCGGGCAGGAGGAAGTACCGCAGCTGGATATGCTTCGCTCTGCCCTCAAGCCGAGGTTCCTGACACAGGAGGATCATGGCCTTGTCGTCAGCGTACAGGACCGGGGCAGAGCTAGGCCGCTCACCGAAGTCAGTGAGCAAGAAGGTCAGCCAGCGGAGCTCCTGTGCCGCCATGGCACCAGCGTAGATCTCAGCCTCACAGCTGGACTGAGCAACAGACGACGAGCGAGTGGATCTCCAAGAGATAGCACCCGAACCAAGACTAAAACAATAGCCATGAGACGACCTGAGAGTCTCAGAGTCATCTGCCCAAGAAGCGTCTGTGTGCCCAGTGAGGACCACCGGCCTGTGTCCTCCTAGCACTAACCCCATGCCCGATGTACTTGCTAGATATCGCAAAACCCTCTTAGCGGCCGACCAGTGCTGTGGCCGGTGTCTGCCAGTGGCCACAAAGCGAGCCAGGATGCAGAGAGCGTATGCAAGATCTGGGCGAGTGCAAGTCATCAGGTATGAGGCAACCCACCAGCTTTGCGTAGGGTCCACTGGGCTCTACTGGCTCCTCAGAAACGAGAGCGGAGAGCCCATGGTCTACAGGCAGAGATGTGGGCTGTGCGGAGGAGAACTGAAGACCGAACCTCTGAAGGACCTGACGCACCAAGTGTGACTGTGTCAGAGTGATGGTGCATGCTGCTCTGTCCTTGGAGATCTGCAGGCCAAGATAGCGACGCAGCTCTCCAAGGTCAGTGCAGGTGTGTCTCTTCAGCAGCTCGGCCTTCACAGAGGCCAGTGCGTCCCTGTCAGCAGTAGCAAAGACCAGGTCGTCTACGTAGACAAGGCCGGAAGTACAGATGTAGAACGGAGTCTGGCCGGAACGCACAAACAGCGAGGGGTCAGCAGAGAACGGAAAGAACTCCAGGTCTGCTAACGTGGCATGCAGCGTGTCGTGTCACTCGCGAGGAGCCTGACGCAGGCCGTAGACCGGGCGCCGGAGAAGCTTCTGGGTCCCAGGGGGGAAGGTACCAGTGAAGCCCTAAGGTCGACGCAGGTAGACCTGCTCGTGTAGGCTGCCCTGAAGAAAGGCAATAGAGAAGTCGAGGGAGTGAAGCTTGTAGTCGCGCTGTGCTGCTACGTGTACCAGCGCCCGAAGAGTGGTCATCTTCAGGGTCGGGGCGAAGGTCTGGAAGAAGTCAACCCCCTCGCGCTGGCTGAAGCCTCTGGCCACTTGGCGCGCCTTGAAGACAGGCGGCTCTCTAGTGGGGCACTCTAGCTTGAAGAGCCACCGACCATCGACTACGTTCACCCCAGGCGGGGGAACTGCGTCGACGTAAGTGCCGATGGACCTCCAAGATGCCATCTCCTGCTCCATGGCAGCTATCCACTGAGAGGCCCAGGGTCCCGAGGTGGCCTCAGCGTAGGTACGAGGGGTCGGGATGTGGAAGGCGTCTGGGTCGCCCTCTAGGACTAGGAGCATGGAGAAGAGATGGGGAGCGGCCTCAGAAAGGAAAGCAAGCTCGTACTGCTTGTCCTCTAGTACGTCATTGCCAAGGGCAGGTGCACCCCCGACGGACGCAGGACGGGCAGGGTCAGAGACCAAAGCGGTAGCGTAGTCAAGGCGGCGGGTAGAGGCGAAGTCAGCGACAGTAGCTACAAGCGCGGCAAGGCGCGAGACAGGAACAGACGGGTCTGTAACAAGAGATGCAAGGACCCGAGAGACGAGGGGATGAGCGGCACGGAGGTAGTCAGAGAGCGGGGGAGGTGCAACAACAAGCGACGAGGGAGGAGGCGAGGGGAAGAGGGGGGGACGAGACGAGTGAGAACGGAGTAACATAGGGTGGGAGCAAGGGACAGGGGAGACGGGACGAGCACGCGAGGGACGGCGAGACCAAACGTGGGATGGATGTGTAGGGTCAGGAGACAGTGGAGGGGACACAAGGGGGGAATGAGGAGGAAGACGGGCCGGAGAAGAGTCCGGGGGCGGGAACACAGGGCCGTAGACAGGAAGGTGAGGAGGAGGTGGGGGAGACACCGGCGAGCAGTCAGGGGAGGGAAGGCCGAGCAGGCGAAGAGCGGAGACCGGCGGCGACGAATGCGGCGGCTGCTGCGGCGGCTGGTGCTCGACCCTCGAACCGGCAGGGGCACGACGACCTCCGGGAGAACACTCAACAGCAGCACCCCCAGAACCAACACCCCCAGAGCGAGAACTGTAAGAGTACGACCCCGTTACACCACTTGTCCCATTTTCTTATTTCCTTCCTCTGTCATTTCTCTTTTTATCTCATCTCGTTTGGTTTCCTATTCTCCCTTTTCCATTACCCTTTGGTTTATCCTGCTATTATAATTATATAACCGACCAGGCTTGGGATGTACTGGTGCGCTATATCTATCGTAATCCTGCCGTAATCCCTTAAAGCCAATGGCCTCGCGTGGCTATACGCAGGGTGATTCTATCTTCTAGAAGGGTCTATTCCCGTAGGATAAGATAAACCTGGTTACCTGATGTACTCTGGAAGTATAGAAGCGCCTTGTACAGATCGATAGTGCAATCTTTCCTCGAGTCATTCGATCTTGTGACACTTGGTATCAGAGCTTTTCTCACTCGGCCGCGCTCAACAAAGCAGCAGCAGCGGGAAAACCTGCCTCGAAAAACCGCCGGGGGCGACCAATTCGACGCCGATTCTGGTAAGCACCAGCTCCGCATTTTTTCGAATCACCCCCCCCCCCGCGCGTGTTTTGAACAGGATGGCAACCTTCGACAACGCCGAGGTTACCCAGCAGCTCTTCGCGCGCATTGCAGCCCTTCAGGAGGAGATGCGAGCGGATCGCGAAGCGTGGCGAAACGAGTTCGAGCGAGTAACTCGACTTGCCGGAGCACAGCACGACTCGACAACGGCGACGACGCAGCAGTCGCAGTAGTTTCTCGAGGCTCCAAAACTGCGCCCACCTCAGCCGTTCGATCCGAGCGATCGAAACGCCGACGCCTGCAGATGGATCGCCAGGATGGAGATCTACGTCGCAGCCGTCGGATGGAGCTCGCCAGTCTGGGACGGTCAACGTATACGACTCGCGGCGACACTGATGCAAGGGCTGGCACTCGAGTGGATTGGCGGCAACAGCACTTTTATCCACAGTGAAGCCACGTGGCAGCAGTTCTGCGCCGACCTGCTGAAACGCTTCGAGCCGATAAATTCCAATTTCCTTGCCCGGGAAAAAATTCATTGACACCGACAGTTCGGGAGTGTAGCGCAGTACACGCAGCAGATGGAGGAATTTTATAACCGCATTCCCAACCTGACCGAAGGGGAAAAAGTACAGTCGTACCTCGTTGGGCTGAAGACCCAAGTTAAATGACAAGTGGCAGCGTCAAACTACGCGAGCTACAGTGGCGTCGTTTCGGCAGCGGAGCGCTTCGACATGGTCAACGCCGGGACACGACGGACGCACGTCGGCAGTACGCGATAGGGCGACCGCTCGGCTCACCCCACGTTCGCTAACCCGATGGAAGTCGACAGGTTCGAGGGGCGGCCGCGTCCAAAAAACACCAACTACACGTATGATTTTTGTGGGGTGCCGGGTCATCGAATCTTCGACTGCAACAAAATGAAAACCGCACGCGCTGAGTATCGGGCACGCAACAGTGGCGGAATTCCTTCGGCCAATCAGAAGACAAAAAAACGGGAGTCGCCAGTGATTGCGGATCTAGCTGACGAAAATAAAAAGATCCGGAAGCGGGATTCTGGGAAAATCAACTTCGACGAAGCTGGTTCGACGCGAGAAGGAGGAAATGATGGGGGAAAATCTCCACCCCACGACCAGTCTTTGCCAGGGAAAATCGCCGAGGAAAAATACGACTCCGCGAAAAAAGACTCTGACGAGACGGGGAAACTCCTTGAAGACCCAATAAATTATAAGGATTCGTAAAAGTTATCTTATAAAAATGCTTTAATGAAAACTTATGATTTTCGAGGGGCTAGAGCCTTGGAGAAATTTCGGGAGGGACTCCAAAAGAAGCAGACAGCTGTGGAGATTATACCGGTACCGGACAACTTGGGGAAAAAAATAAGGAGTGTGGAAAGAAGCCGACCTTTCCACGGAGTCAACATCCTCTCCCAACACCAGCCCACAACGACTACCCGTTCCCTAAGGAAGACATCGGTGGAGCTGAAGCAGCTCAAGAGGAAGCTGGGGGTCTACAGAAAGCTGCACAAACTCCGAACTCCTCCTCCGGATGCATCCAGTTCTTCGGCATCAGTGACGCGCACAGTCGTCAACGAAACTTCGGGCCCTGGAGAAGAGTCGTTCTCCAAGCAGCCTCGGCCAGTTGCCAGCATAGGAGTAGATAGCATCACAAAGGCGTGTACAGGATACTGGGATGTACCCTATGACCCAATGAATGAAACCATTTTTGGGTACTCCGAGCAACGCCTGCCCCTCGTGCTCGAGGTCGTCTGCAAAGGACGACGCCTCCAAGCACTCGTGGACAGCGGAGCATCGCACACCGTCTGCGACAAGGCAGTAATCGACCGACTTCGGGAAGAGTACAAGCCTTCAAGATTCTCTGCAACGATGGTGGACGGCAGCAAGTTACCAGTGCACGGAGAAGCAGTGTTACACCTACAAATTGGACCACTGCACTAGAGACCTGCACTCCCCATCACCAACATCAAAGGGCTTGACCTGATCTTCGGGCGAGACTTCCTCAAAAGATTCAACCCCGAGATTAACTGGGTGAACCGCACCGCAAGCATCTACAACAAAAGAAGGAGAGTCCAACTACCCAACTGGGACGATACAGGAGATATTCCAGTGGAGACACTCGCACGATTCGAGAAGGACGTGAAGCGAACCGACACCGGGTTCCTGGCGATAGCAACAGAGGCGGAGAACGACAGGGAAAAAACCGTGGAACCTCGATGAAAGATTAAGGAATTATTGAAGGATTTCCAAGACATTCTTCCAAACAATCTTCCGAATGAGCTACCACCATACCGAACGTATCAACACGAGATCGTAGAGGAACCGGGTTCGAAGCCGACCTTCCGAGCACCATTTCGGCTCAGCCCTACGGAGCTGACCGACATGAAAAAACAGATCGAGTATCTCCTACCCAAAGGACTCATCCGACCATCCACTTCACCGTACGGTGCCCTAGTACTCTTCACACCGAAACCGGACGGAAGTCTGCGCATGTGCATCGACTATCGAGCTCTTAACAAGCAGACCATCAAGAATAAATATCCGATACCGCGAATCAATAACCTGCTTGACCAGCTTCGGGGAGCTACAATATTTTCCAAACTGGATCTGCGGTCCGGATACTGGCAGATACGGATGGCGGACAACTCTATCCACAAAACTGCTTTCCGAACTCGGTATGGATCGTACGAGTATTTGGTAATGCCATCCGGACTCACCAACGCACCGGCAACGTTCCAAGCCGAAATGAACCACATTCTACGACCACTTTTGGACGAGTGCATGGTGGTATACCTGGACGACATACTCATCTACTCGCGCGACATGAAGCAGCACGTCGAACACCTGCGACGCGCCTTCGAAATTCTTCGACGAGAATGATTCTACGTCAAACTGTCCAAGAGCGAATTCACCATTGAGAAGGTCCAGTTCCTATGACACATGGTGAGCGCTCAAGGAGTTCACGTCGACCCCAAGAAAATCGAAGCCGTACGTACGTGGAAGACACCAAAGAATGTGAAGGGTTGCAGCAATTCCTAGGCTTCGCTAATTATTACAACAGGTTCGTGCCACAGTATGCGAAACTCGCAGCACCACTCACGAATCTGCTGAAGAAGAACACACCCTACAAATGGGATCCGAAGCACCAGGAAGCCGTGGAGCTGCTGAAACAAGCACTCACGTCCTCACCAGTACTCATCTTGCCAGATCCCAAACGCAATTACGTAATAGAAGCTGACGCCAGCGACCAGGCAGTGGGAGCAGTCTTAATGCAAGATCAAGGGAATGGGCTGCAACCTATCGCCTACCTGAGTAAGAAACTACACGGGGAAGAACTCAACTACCCGATACACTACAAGGAGGCCCTGGCTATCATCATCGCCTTCAAAGCGTGGAGATATTATCTCGAAGGACGAAGAACAACCGTCTACACTTCCGCTTACGCCTGCCAGCTATATGGAAGATTCACAACGCCTTCCATGTCCAACTTCTGAAGCCCTATCAGGATCCAAACACGATCTTCGTCGGACGCCAACCGCCGCCGCCGCCGCCCGTCCTCGTCCAAATGAACCCGAGTACGAGGTCGAGTCCGTGCTTGCATACCGCCGTCGTCGAAATGGCACCGTGGAGCTTCTCATCCGTTGGAAGGGCTATGATCCTTTTGAGGATATCTAAGTACCTGAGTCCGATATGGGTAATGCCCGTCGTCCTCTGCATGACTACCTTATAAAGCAGGGTGTTACTTCTACCACCAAGCTTTGAGGGGGGGACGTGTGAGAGTACGACCCCGTTACACCACTTGTCCCATTTTCTTATTTCCTTCCTCTTTCAATTCTCTTTTTATCTCATCTCATTTGGTTTCCTATTCTCCCTTTTCCATTACCCTTTGGTTTATCCTGCTATTATAATTATATAACCGACCAGGCTTGGAATGTACTGGTACGCTATATCTAGCGTAATTCTGCCGTAATTCCTTGAAGCCAATGGCCTCGCGTGGCTATACGCACGGTGATTCTATCTTCTAGAATGGTCTATTCCCGTAGGATAAGATAAACCTGGTTACCTGATGTACTCTGGAAGTATAAAAGCGCCTTGTACTGATCGATAGTGCAATCTTTCCTCGAGTCATTCGATCCTATGACAAGAACCCTCTCCAGCCCCAGCGGCACCCCAAGGCCCGCCGGGACAGACCACGCCAGGAGCCGCAGGACGAACACCCTCCTTTGCGCCAGCACCCCCAGAGGCCAAGAGCGGCAGCGACGGCGGCGGCGCCGGCGGCTGCGACGGCGGCGGCGGCGGCGACGACGACGGCGGCAGCGGCGACTACGACAGCGAGGGCGGAGACACCAGGGAAGGGAGACGCGGCAAAGGCGGGGCGGGGGGACCACCAGAGTCAGCAGACTCCTCAACAGGGATAACTGACAGGAGGGGAGTGACATGGGAGACACCAGATGGGGCAGGACGAGGCGGGAGGGGAGGAGGGGCTACCGGGGGAGAGGGGGCAAGTAACAGGAGGGGGGAAACCGGGAGACCTCGATGAGGGAAGCGACGGTAGAAGGAGACGGACTCGTCAAAGGTGACGTCACGAGAGTGGAGGAAGCGGTGAGACTGCGGGTGGTAGAACAGCCTGTCAGATGAGTCCAGGGGGAAATCAAGGAAGACACAGGGGACAGTGCGGGCAGTGAGCTTGTCCGTGCCAGAGGCACGAACGTGAGCAAGGCAGCCCCAGACGTGGAACGCAGACGCGTCACCGGGGGACCCGGTCCAAAGGAGGGTCGGCGAAACCTGCGGCCGCTGGGAGCGTGGCCACAAGTTAAGCTGGTGAGCGGCGTAGCGAACGGCGAACGGCCGCAGAAAATGGGGTGCACCGGTATGGATCATGGAGGTACGTGCCACCTCCATGACCAAGCCGATGCGACGCTTAGCAATGCTGTGGCGAGTCCAGCAAGGTGTACGACTGGGTGATGCCCTCCGCATTACAGAACTGTCCAAGCCGACCAGAAGTGAACTCGCCGCCACGGTCAGAGTGGAGACACAACACGGGAAGACCGCGGTGAAGATGCGCAGCCACAACCCACGGGAGAAGAACGTCGGGCACGTCGGCCTTCCGCTCCAGAGGAAACACCGTGGTGTAGCGCATGTAGTCGTCGACGAGCACAAGAAAGTAGCGCTCGCCACACGGTCCGAGGACGGGGGCTGGGCCCCAAACGTCCAGGTGCAGGTTCTGAAGGGGAGCAGTAGCAGGGCGAAGCGAGGAGGAGTGAGGGGCACGGCGGAGCCGGCCCTCGACGCAGGGCGTGCACGGTGGAGCAGACGAGAGGGGAAGGGCGGGGAGTGACGCGGGGAGGCCTAAGAGAAGACCGTGCTGAGACATGTGACGCAGACGCGGGAGTGCAGGGTGACCTAGGCGGTGGTGCCACAAAAGGGACGGGTGAGTGAGAGACCGACATGAGCAAGCTGCAACGACCTGGGAGGACGCACCAAACGGAGGGGGAGTGGTGTCGAGGGTAAACAGACCGGATATCAGGTCCCAAGGGAACGTCGCAAGGGGGGAACCTATGGCAGCCTCGGTACAGACAGCAAACCGCTCGTGCCCAGGGAACGTGGTGGTGACGCCGAGGTCCTGAAGACAGCCGACACCAACCAGGTTCCTCGAGAAAGAGGGAATGTGGAGGCCAGTAAGGGAGCTGGAGGGAACGGCGGGACAGGGAAGGGAAGTGGAGCTGCGAGCGACGACAGGACCACCAGAGGGGTCGGCGAGTGTGACAACAGCAGGCGCAACAAGTGGTGCGAGCGTGGAGCGGTCTAGGAAGAAACAGGCAGAAGCACCGGAGTTGAGAGTGAAGGACAGCGAGGCAGTGGCGAAGGCTAGGAATGGAGCCGGTGCAGAACCTAGGCTAGGCAAACTAGGCAGTCCTACGCCTGACACAGCAGGGGAGGCTAAGCTACACAAGGGTGAGACACCTAAACTAGAGTACACAGGGTAATAAGATCCAGCAACACTAGAAGCGTCAGCATTCAAAGCATGCAAAGCAGCACCTATCTGATCCATATCTAACTCAAAGATCGGCACGCCCTGGCGAAGCAGGCTGTGCCAGTCGGGGAGGTCCGGGGCCGGGCCAAAGCGACGATGAAATAGATCGTCGAGGCGGCAGAAACAGCGGGCGGTCGGGTGCGGGCGGCGGTACAGAGTGCCGCGGAGAGGCCCGGTCTGAAGCTGGTACTGGCAGGTCACAGCACTTGAGCTGCCGGTAGACGCCAAGCTGCGCGGGCCACCACCTCGGCCACCACCGCCGGAGGTGCCGGGCCAACCAGGTGGGAGATGAGCCCACGGCTGCGATGGCTGCTGCTGGGACGGCGGCGGCTGCTGCTGGGGCTGCTCCGGCTGCGAAGGCGACTGCATCTGCTCCTGCCCACCAGTGGTAGTCCCCTCAGGTGGACTACCGTCACCACCACCACTACCACCACCACCAGTGCCACCACCACGACCTCCCTGGCGGCCACGGCCACTGCGGCACGGACGCTGCTGCGGGTGGACCGCAGCAGCCGTCTCGGTAAGAGGGGTCGCAGTGGCGACCGCAGCCGAAACGTCAGTAAACGTGCACTGGGAGGGGGCACAGCCGTGAAAGATAGAGACTGCCGGCGCACCGCTCGACTGAGCGATAGTGCGCTGGCGCGTCTCGATCTCGGTGAGGGTGTCGACAAAGGCGGTCAGTGTGAGGTCACCTGGGTGCTGGCTAAGGAAGCGGTCGCGGGCACTAGCTAGGCGGTCCGGCAGGCGCATGGCGATAAAATAGAGGGTCATGCAGAATGTGAGGGGGGAGCGCAGTGAGCTGGGCAGCAGTGCTGGCAGTGCGATAGTGAGTCTCTAGGGCACGCAAGTGAGTGGCAAAGTCTGCGACAGTAGGGAAGGCAGTAAGGTCTGGGAACAGCACCAGGAAGTGCAGGCGGCCGGCAGAAACGGATGCAGGTGTGGAATAGCGAGCAATAACAGCGCCTATATAAGCTTTGGCCGTATCAATCGTAGCGAAACGCGAGCGCTCAGTACAGGGAGGGCGTGACTGATAGCAACCTGAGCTACTCCATCGCGTGAGTCCCAGACCGCACAGGCAAGCACAGCAGTAGAGAAAGCCTCACTCTCAGCGGAGGTGGGGTCAGCAGGGAGGGGAGCAGGTGCAGGGGGGCGGGGGAGCAAGCCATTAGCATGGACAACTAGTGAGTGTCCATCCTGGCGCTGACCTGTAAGCTGACGGCGGAGATCGGAGAGCCAGGCCGCGAAGTCAACCGCGTGGCGCTCAGCGTCCAGGCGGAGCACGAAGTCAGCCATCGTGTAGGGGCAGCGATACAGCTCCTCAGCGACACAGCGGCACAGCTCCACAGCTCGGCAGGAGCACAGCGGCACGGGGACACGGCGGCAGCACTCTCTAGTAGGGCGGCTGCGGGGCACCCCAGCGCGGGCTAGCAGAGGACACGGGGCCCGAGGTGGCACGGCAGGCCGAGCAGGCACGACAAGGGGCCGGGCTGGCGCTGAAAACCGGGTAGGCGCTAGGAGGGGCCGGGCGGGCGCAGTGGGACCGGGCGGGCGCTAGGAGGGGCCTAGCAAGCTCGGGGCGGCCGGGCAGGCGCGACTGGGGGCCGGGCGGGCGCGAGGAGGGGTCGGGCGGCGCTAGGAAGAGGCCGGGCGGGCGCTGCTGGGGCCGGCTAGGAGCGGGCTCGACGGTCAGTGGGCCCGCCAGGAGCGAGCGCGTGGCGCCAGAGGGGGCCAGCTAGGAGCGGGCGCGACGGCCAGTGGGGCCAGCTAGGGGCGGGCGCGAACGGCCAGGGGGCTGGCTAGGAGCGGGCGCTAACGGCCTGGGGGCCGGTTGGGGGCGGACGTGACGGCCAAGGGGCCGGCTAGGGGCGGATGCGATGGCCAAGGGGCCAGCTAGGGGCGGACGCGTCGGCAGAGGGCCGGCTAGGGGCGGTCGCGACGGACAGGGGGGCCAGCTAGGGGCGGACGCGACGGCCAGGTGGCCGACTAGGGGCGGACGCGACGGCCAGGGGGCCGACTAGGGGCGAACGTGACGGCTAGGGGGCCAGCTGAGGGCGGACGCGACGGCCAGGGGGCCGACTAGGGGCGGACGCGACGGCCAAGGGGCCAGCTAGGGGCGGACGCGACGGCCAGGGGGCCGGCTAGGGGCGGACGCGACGGCCGGGAGGCTGACTAGGGGCGGACGCGACGGCCAGGGGGGCGACTAGGGGCGGACGCGACGGCCAGGGGGCCAGCTGAGGGCGGACGGGATGGCCAGGGGGCCGACTAGGGGCTGACGTGACGGCCAAGGGGCCGACTAGGGGCGGACGCGACGGCCAAGGGGCCGACTAGGGGCGAACGCGACGGCCAGGTGGCCAGCTAGGGGCGGACGCGACGGCCAGGGGGCCGACTAGGGGCGGACGCGACGGCCAGGGGGCCGACTAGGGGCGGACACGACGGCCAGGGGGCCAGCTGAGGGCGGACGCGACGGCCAGGGGGCCGACTAGGGGCGGACGCGACGGCCAAGGGGCCAGCTAGGGGCGGACGCGACGGCCAGGGGGGCGGCTAGGGCCAGGCGAGAGACTAGGGCGCGGGCGGAAGCGGGCGGGGGAACCTAACCTACTCGATACCATGTTAGAATACGTGAATGGTTTACTAGAAGGGAAAACATGACACATATAGCAGTTGGGTTGTACTCACTAGGAGCACACACTGATACTAGCCTATAACTTCTACATGGATAACATGTATGAGTTGACACCTGTATCTCACATTCTAGCTAACAATTCTACTCTGAGATGGTATCACACGCTAGGTTAGGTCCTCCCCGCCCACCCGCACTTCCACTTTGGTCCTAGCCCTAGCCGCCCGTACCTAGCCGCCCATCTCTAGCTGCCCGTTTCGAGCTGACCATTTCAAGCCGCCCTTCGCTAGCCGCCCGTAGCCCCGCGCCCACTGGCCCCGCGATCGTCAGCACCCGCCCGCTGGCCCTGAGCTCGCTGGCCCCGCACCTGCTGGCCCCGCGCATGCCAGCCCCGTGCTCGCTGGCCCCGCGCCCGCCTGCACCGCACCGCTGGCCTCAATTTTGCCCGACCCGCGCCCGTTGGCCCTGCTTTCACCAGCCCCGCGCATGCTGGCCCCGATTTCGCCAGCCCCGCGCCCGCTGGCCCCGCATTCGCTAGCCCCGCGCCCGCTGGCCTCGCATTCACCAGCCCCTCGACGACGGCCTCGTGTCCCGCTGACCCCGATTTCGCCCGCCCCGCGCCCGCTGGCCCTGCTTTCACTAGCCCCACGCCCGCTGGCCCCGTGCCCGCTGGCCTCACATTCGGCAGCCCCTCGCCACCTGCCGCATGTCCCGCTGGCCCCTGCGCCTTCTAGTCCCCCGCCTGCTGACCCTGCGCCCGTTAGGCCCGTGCCCTTCAGCCCCGCGCCTGCTGGCCCTGCACCCGCCAGCCCCGCGCCCGCCAACCCTGCGCCTGCTGGCCCTGCGCCCGCGAGCCCCGCGCCTGCTGGCCCTGCTTCAGCTGCTCCCTCGCCGACCGTAGCTCCGCTGCTCCCAGCCTGCCAGGACCCTTCCTACCGCCGAGCGGCGCTGACCCGTCGACCTTGGCTCCTCCTCTGAGTCGGCGCTCCCGCCGGCCGGCTCCACCGCTCTCCACCGCACTCTACCACTCTCCACCGCACTCCACTGCTCTCCACTACACTCCACCACACTCCACCACTCTACACCGCACTCCACTGCACTCCACAGCTCTCCACCGCTCTCCATCGCACTCCACCGCTCCCCCCTGCTCTCCACCGCCCTCCTCCGCACACCCTCCTCCCCTTGTCAGCGGCAATCAGCTGCTGCAGCCGTGGTGATGACGGACTCTCTGCTCCGCCTGGACGTGGAGAGCCGGGCTGTTGAGTTTGAGACGTGGCTCGTCGACCTCCGCCGCCAGCTGACCTGTCAGCGCCAGTGGCCGTCCATGTCGACGGTAAGTTCCCGCACCCTGCCACGTCCGCTGCCCTCCCTAACGCCCCCACGTGTGCTGAGCGTGAGGCTTTTGTTGCTGCTGAGCTTGCCTGTGCTGTCTGGGAGTCGCGCGACGCCGTTGCATAGCTTGCCATTAGTTACGCCATCCCCCTGTCTGAGCGTCCCCGCTTTATGGCTGTAGCAAACGCCAATGAATACTTAGATGCCGTCATCGCGCACTATTCCACTCCCTCCTCAGCCTCTGCCGGGGCGTCTAATCCTCCCCATGCTGCTCCCAGACCCTGCCTCCTTCCCCTATATCGTTGACCTTGCAACTCACCTCCGCGCACTGGAGAATAGCTACTGCGTCGTGCCGCTTCCGCTCACTGCCTTCCCGCCGCCGCTTTGCGCTATCCTTTACCTCATAGCCATGGCGGCATCGTGGAGGCCCACTCGCTCATCGTTTATTGCCCAGTCTAGCTGTGAGACTGAGATCTACGCCGGTGCCATGGCGGCACAGGAGCCCCGCTGACTGGTTTTCTTGCTCAGATGCTTATGTGAGCAGCCTAACTCTGCCCCAGTCCTGGACGCTGACAAAAGGGCCATGATCCTCCAGTGCCCGGAGCCTCGAGTGGAGGGCAGAGCAAAGCATATCCAGCTGCAATTCTTCCTCGTGCGCGAGCTACAGCAGCGCCGCGAGGCCCGCGTAGTACACTTGGCCTCCGGTGCCAACACAGCTGATATCTTTACGAAGGCCCTTGCGCTTAAAAACCATCAGCGACACTGTGTACGGCTTGGTCTAGTTCCTGTAGCTTCTCACTTGCTAGGACCTTGATTGTGTACTATATCTTATATGATCCTGACAGTCCTCGTGGCTCCTGTTCCAGTGGTTGGACTAGTACTTCCGACCTGTGTTACTCTCGTTTAGTTTGTACTTTTGCTGACATGTCTTCGAACCCTTGCGTCAGAGGCTGGACTAGTATTGCCTCCCTGAGCTGCATGTCTCTTTCCCGGCACTGCCCCTCATCTAGCCTAGGGGGTGTGTCAAACTTATATGTATATGTTACTATAGACTAGATAGGTGTATTCACTTAGAGAGTACAACCCCTTAGACAAAACCATCTTGTATCTCACATTCTAGCTAACAATTCTACTCTAAGACTACCTTCTCCTTTGCATATTTCCCCCAATCTTTCTCCATAGTTATGTCCCTCCCTCCATCCTCCTCCCCTCCCCCTTTCCATCCACCACCTCTCTCCTCTCTTTCCGTCCCCAACCCCTTCCACTTGACCCCCTTTTCCCCTGTCTTTCTCCCACTACCATGTTTCTCTCTCTCTCTCTCTCTCTCTCTCTCTCTCTCTCTCTCTCTCTCTCTCTCTCTCTCTCTCTCTCTCTCTCTCTCTCTCTCTCTCGCCGTCCTGTCCGCTGTGGCGTGGCCCCATCCATACCCCCTCAACATCTCTTCCTGTCCCACATATCTCAAACACATGCACAAGGAGCATGCGCTACCCACCAACTGGAATATTGCAACTGTAAATCACAAACACTTAAAAAAACGAGAACAAAGAGCCAAGGAAGAAAACATAAACAATGTCTAACTTTTTCAAACCATCAAAGTGCGTCCTTGATACAATTGAGCATTAGAGGACAAATAGTGGTGCTTGAGCTGAGTGTCTCAAAAGGGTGCCGCTAATGGGTGAGCCTGAAATCAGGATAACTGTATGGGAGATCGCACAACCTCCTCTAGCCCAGCTGGCGTACTGTACGCTGCTCCTTCTGTAGCTTCCCACGTGTTGCAATTGCCCTAGTCAAGTCCGCATACAGTTATCGTACAGCTCCGTTTCATTCCGCCACCCCCGCCTCGCGCGGGCTCCGCGGTCTTGAGTAGCGGCCGCATCGCACTAACGCAACGGATTGCAGGCAATTTGCTGTCGCACGCTTTGGGGGCAATTCTTGTTGCGCGCACCTGGCGCTGCTGTCCTTGTGTCCTGGTTTGCCCCGCCTAATCATCAGGTCATTTGCGGTCATCCACATTCTCTCTCTCCATTCCCCTCGCCTAATCACTGCCAGAACTCCACTGTTCTCCCGCCCCACCCCCTCAGTCGTCCCCCTCGTCCCCGAGTCCGACCCCCGACCGCCCGCGAATCCGACCCGCGAACCGTCCGCATAGCATGCAAGCAACCAACCAATCCCACTCAGTCGCAGTCGAAATTCATCTTCTCCGCCGGTTGCGGCGGCCAGCCGAGTTTCAGAATGACGCGTTCCCTTCAATCCGTCCTTCCGATCCCCCCCGTCCAAATCACGATGCCCACGGCATCCTGCTCTCGCGAGCCCTTCATTTTCCTCCATCCCTCGGCTCACAGCCATCCTCCTTCGCCTTCTGGTTCGCGTTCCAGTAATTCGAGCAAGCCTGCGTCGCGTATCTCTTTTTCGGGCTACAGACGCACACAATCTCACGATCATCGCAACATCCTCACGGGCTCCAGGTGGCATGACATTACTGCTAGTGACCTTATCCTGCGACGTTTTGGAAAAGAAGTGCCGCCTTCGCTGGCGATTTTTAAAGTCATCGCGTCCAGCTGAACTGTGTTGTGTGCCTTGCTGCGCCATCATGCCCATGCACCAGCGTCATCCTCACATCACATACAGCTAGAATTCCTTCAGCCCCTCCGTCTCACTCCTTACTCCCTTCAATCCAGCCAGATTCGCGTTCACCCTAAAACTCTTCTTTTTTCTCGAGTCCTGGCGGAAGCCATTCTTACCCAGAACGTACGTCAGCTCCGATTATTCCGTTGACGTTGTCCTTTTCCGCCGCTTCGAGTCCATTCCCGTGTTTAACTACCACTCGCGGGTCCTCGTGTTTTACACCTCGCGGGCCCTGCACGTTCGTAACCGTTTGTGTCCGAATCTGAGCTTGCCAGCCGGCATCTCGCTGACGGTTGGAGTAAACAGCGTCACAGCAGGCGCTCGCGGCGCCTAAGATACAGACTAGCGGCGCTCGCGGTAGCACATTTTCCGCTACTAGAAGCGCCTATTGCCTTAACGCCCGCTGCATTGCCTATCTCTTCTTCCGTAAGACGCCAGAAAAGGCACGAGATTTTGGTCCCTGCCGCTCCGCAGCCCTGCGACCGCAGCTCGGCGCGCAGCGGCGCAGCGCATAAGCCCTAACGAGTCCGGACCTTGCGGCGCTGATCGCACCCGTCAAATGCAGCCGCGTGGCTGGACTCGGCGCCAGATTCCACCTGCCATGGCGGCGAGGAGGCACCAACCTGCGCAGCTCATCTGAGTCATCTCTATAGATTCGCAAAGATCGGCCAGCTGGATTCGATCCTAGGCACAAGGAAACTGGCGGCTCCGCGCGCCGGGACACGCGAGAGCACTACAGGGCGCATTGCAGAGAAAGAAAGGAGGAGCACCGCTGGTATTACTACCACTACACTACTACTACTTCTACAAGGGACGATCGGCGATGCGAATGGCGGATGTGAGGGCGTCCCACAACCACGGCCACGGCCACGAGCACGAGCACGGCGGGACTGTCGTGGTCGAGTCGCCGCGTGTTACGCCCGGAATGCTGCAAGCGCCCGGGCTTCCCCTTCAATACGGGCTGCGGCAGATGCCGCATTTCCTGCCGTATCACCCGACGCAGACGTTCCACCAGCAGCAGCAGCACCAGCACCACCAGCAGCAGCAGCAGCACCAGCAGCAGCAGCACCAGCAGCAGCAGCACCAGCAGCAGCACCAGCAGCATCAGCAGCAGCAGCAGCAGCAGCAGCAGTTCGAGGACGCAGGCTTCACTAAACAGTACGGCAGTTCCAGCGGCGCTTCTGGCGCTGCCGGGCGATGGCTACCCACGCCGCCGCCGCCGCCGTCGTCGGCGGCGGCGCCGCCGCTGCTGCAAGATGTCGCAGCGACAAGGACGACGGTCGGGAGCGCGTCCGACGTGGCAGCGTGGCCAGCGGGAGGCGCGGGAATAGCGCCAAGTTGCGGGATCAGCGCCGCGGGGCCTCTCCGCCTGCCGCGCAACTCCCCCGCCCCCCCGTTCGCTTCGATCCCCTCCGCCTCCGCCATTTCCTCCTCCGCCTCCGCTAAACCGCTCGCCCTGCGCCTCCCTGTCGCCGCCGTTTCCGCCGCCGCCGCCGCCTGTCCTCCCGCCGCTGCCACGGGCTTTTCGGCCGCGGCTCCGTTATGCTCTCCTTCGATATACTCATCAAGCGCATCCTCTCCCTCGTCGTCGCTCCCGCTCCCCACGCCCACATCCGTCGCGCGCCTTCCCTCTTCCCCGTGGCCTGCGGCGTCCGACGGTCACAAGACCAGCATTTGCTTCTCCCGCACCTCCTTGCTTCTCTCCTCTCCCCTCTCGTCCCCCCTTACCTCCCCCCGGCCTTCCCCGCGCCAGTCCTCGCTTCCGCCGCCCCTCCCGTCTCCGCTCCCGCCGTCTCTCCCGTCCCCCGTCGCGCTGCCCGGCGGAGCGTCGCTCTGCACCATTATCCGCCAGCGCCTCGCCCGCGCGGCCGCTTCCGCCGAAGGTTCCACCAGCGGCGTGGCGGCGCATCGGGGAGCGCTTGCGACCCATGCGACTCATGCGACCCAGGCGTGCGTGGGCGAGGTGTCGGCACTACCAGCGCTGCGACAAGGCGCGGACGACTCGACGCACTGCGTGCGACAGCAGCAACCGCAACGATCGCAACAGGGGATACAGACGATTCTACAGCCTCCGTCGCTGCCGCAGCAGCAGCAGCAGCAGCAGCAAGGGCTGGGAGGAGAGACGCAACAGCATCAGAACGAGAGGAGAATCCACGGGGAGGCAGAGGGGAGACGATGCGGGGAGACGGCACGAGGCGTAGTGACGAGCGGATGGCTGGAGGATGCGCTCGCTTGCTCCGACGCTAGCACTGGCAATGCTGCTACAACTGGTGCAGCTGCTACAGCTGGTGCAGCTGCTACAGCTGGTGCAGCTACAGCCGGTGCAGCTGCTACAGCCGGTGCAGCTGCTACAGCCCTTGCAGGGGCTACAGCAGCCATGCGCGGCACTGCATCTGATGGAGCCCACACGTCAGGGGTTACTGCAGCAGCGACGGCTGCTACTGAAACAGCCCCATCCACTGGTGCCAAGGCTGTGGCCGCTCCCACCCACCTCATGCAACTGGTCCTACCTCACCTGATGCTCCCTCCAACCCATCCCTCCTCTGCCACTCCTTCCCCTCTCCCCCTTGCTCCTGCTCCTGCTCCTGCTCCTGCTCCTGCTCCTACTCCTGCTCCTGCTCCTGCTCCTGCGTCCGCTCCTGTGCTCACCGCTGCTGCTGCATCGACGCCTGTGGTCACCCCCCTGCCTTCCTTTCAGGCCGGACCAGCCGCCCCACTCCCCTCTCCGTCTCCTTCCTCTGCTGCCGCCCCGCTGCCATCTCCATCCCCCCTCCTCTCCGCCTCCCTCGCCGCCTCCTGCGCTCGCCCGCTGCGCCTTCCCCAGGGCATCTGCCTGGCTCCTCCCCCCCCGGCCCCTGCTCCTGCCCCTGCCGTGCTCTCGAGCGCGGAGGCGCAGGCAGCTACCGCCTCATCGGATTCAGAAGCCGCTGCAGCAGCGGAAGCAGCAAAAGCAGCAGAAGCAGCAGAAGCAGCAAACAGACACACATATACACCAGAAACAGCAGTCGAAGCCACAGCAGCGGCAGCAGCAGTGGCAGTAGGTGGAAAGGGACGTGAGACGGGGTGTGGATCGGGGGTTACGGGCGCGATGAGAACAGCCGCAGGTGATGCACCAATGGTATCGGCGGCAGCGGCAGTGGCAGCAACAGCAGCAGAAGCGGCAGCAGCAGCAGCAGCAGGCGATGATAATTGCAGGAGCTTCCCTGTCTGTGCCGCTCGGAGTGCGAGTGCGAGTGCGGAGGAGGAGAGGAGAGCGGCTGGGGCGACTGAGGGTGAGACACATGGCTTGAGTGACTCAGCTGCTGTAGCAGCAGCAGCACCACCACCACCACCACCACCACCACCACCACCACCACCAGCGACGGCGGCAGCAGCGGCGGCACCGGGTACAGAGCCGGAGGGGCTAGGGAGTCCCTACGGGCAGGGAGAGGAGACGGAAGGGAGAACGAGTGATGAGGCCCCTTTCGGGGGTACGCGGGGAGGTAGGGGAGGAGGAAGAGGGGGAAGGGGAGGCGGAGGGGGAGGGAGAGGCGGAAGGCAGCAGCAGCAGCCGAAGGAAGTGAGGGCGGCACGAGTGAAGGCGGAAGCAGAGGAGGAGCGGGATGGAGGGCAACTGGGGCCGGCAGGGGCTCACAGGGAGGTGCCTAGTGCGAGAGGCAGCAAGGGCAGGGGCCGGAAAGGGAAGAATAATGCAGGGAACGTGCCTGATGCTGCTGGTGTTGCTGGTGTTGCTGGTGTTGCTGGTGTTGCTGGTGCTGCTGCGGCTACTGCTGGCTGCCCAGCTGGTTTTGCTGCGGGCGATGCTGCTGCGGGCGGTGTTGTAGTGTGCAGTGGGCCAGGGGACGGGTCGGAGTGCGCTGGTGCTATGCAGCAGCAGCAGCAGCAGGTGGGGACGGCAGCAGGTGGGTGTGGTGGGAGAGGAGGCAAAGCAGGCATCAACGTGGGAATACGCCGACGACCAGCCAAGAGCAAGGCCACTGGTGGGGGCAGAGCGGGAGGAGGGGGGGGGGATGATGCTGGCGCTGGTTGTGGCAATGAGAGTGCGAAGGGAGTGAAAGCTGCGAAGGGCAGGAGGGGCGAGGCGAGAGGTGCAGCAGAGGAGCAGCAGAGCGGGGCAGGGAAGGAGGTGACTGAGGGAGGGAAGGAGGAGGCCGAGGAGGCAGCGGAGGAAGCAGCAGGCAAGCAGCGAGTCCGGGCGGGAAAGGCTTGCCGGAAAGGAGCCCGTGGCAAGGGGACACGTGCTGCTGCTGCTGCTGGTACTGGTACTGCTGGTACTGCTGGTACTGCTGGTGCTCGCACCACCAGCAGCGGGGATCATGACAACGAGGATAACGACGACGACGATGACAACGACGATGACGACGACGGGGAGAACGATGAGGACGCGCTCGGCCGCATGACCCAAGAGCAGATCGAGGCTCTGGAGGTGCGCTTTCAGCAGAACCGCCGCCTGGACACGGCGAGAAAGCTGGTGCTCGCGCAGGAGATCGGAGTGCGGCCGCGGCAGGTGTCGGTGTGGTTTCAGAACCGGCGTGCGCGGTGGCGGCAGAAGAAGAAGGAGAGCGACTTGAGCGCGATGCAGAGGGAGTATGGGCGGTTGAAAGTGGCGCGGGAGCAGCTCGGGGAGGACTATGAGCTGCTGAAGAAGGACTATGAGGATCTGCTGCTTCATAATGCGGCGTTGCATGACAAGGTGGATGATTTAATGGCGCATCTGGTGCAGCAGGGCTTGCTCACCTCTACCACGTCCTCGTGTCTGCGCGACGCTCTGCAGACGGCCGGCCAACTCTCTCCCACCATCACCACCACCAGCCCCCTGGCTTTCCCGAGCAACACTGCGACTGTCGAACCTGCCCCCGGGGCTGGCGCGGAGGCTCGGACGGACGGCATGGCGGCTGCCTCGGCAGCTGCCTCGGCTGTTGCGGCTTTCCCTTCCGCTGGTGCTTCTGCTGTAGCCTCTCCTGCAGGCGCTGGAGCGTGGGAAGGAGGGGGGGAAGGAAGAACAAGAGGCGGAGGAGGAGGAGGAGGAGGAGGAGGAGGAGGAGAGGAGGGGAGGAGGAGGAGGAGGAGGAGGAAGGAGGAGGAGGAGGAGGAGGAGGAGGAGGGAGGAGGAGGAGGAGGAGGAGGGAGGAGGAGGAGGAGGAGGAGGAGGAGGAGGAGGAGGAGGAGGAGGAGGAGGAGGAGGAGGAGGAGGAGGAGGAGGAGGAGGAGGAGGAGGAGGAGGAGGAGGAGGAGGAGGAGGAGGAGGAGGAGGAGGAGGAGGGAGGAGGAGGAGGAGGAGGAGGAGGAGGAGGAGGAGGAGGAGGAGGAGGAGGAGGAGGAGGAGGAGGAGGAGGAGGAGGAGGAGGAGGAGGAGGAGGAGGAGGAGGAGGAGGGAGGAGGAGGAGGAGGAGGAGGAGGAGGGGAGGAGGGAGGAGGAGGAGGAGGAGGAGGAGGAGGAGGAGGAGGAGGAGGAGGAGGAGGAGGAGGAGGAGGAGGAGGAGGAGGAGGAGGAGGAGGAGGAGGAGGAGGAGGAGGGGAGGAGGAGGAGGAGGAGGAGGGAGGAGGAGGAGGAGGAGGAGGAGGAGGAGGAGGAGGAGGAGGAGGAGGAGGAGGAGGAGGAGGAGGAGGAGGAGGAGGAGGAGGAGGAGGAGGAGGAGGAGGAGGAGGAGGAGGAGGAGGAGGAGGAGGAGGAGGAGGAGGAGGAGGAGGGAGGAGGAGGAGGAGGAGGAGGGAGGAGGAGGAGGAGGAGGAGGAGGAGGAGGAGGAGGAGGAGGAGGAGGAGGAGGAGGAGGGGAGGAGGAGGAGGAGGAGGAGGAGGAGGAGGAGGAGGAGGAGGAGGGAGGAGGAGGAGGAGGAGGAGGAGGAGGAGGAGGAGGAGGAGGAGGAGGGAGGAGGAGGGAGGAGGAGGAGGAGGAGGAGGAGGAGGAGGAGGAGGAGGAGGAGGAGGAGGAGGAGGAGGAGAGGAGGAGGGAGGAGGAGGAGGAGGAGGAGGAGGAGAGGAGGAGGAGGAGGAGGAGGAGGAGGAGGAGGAGGAGGAGGAGGAGGAGGAGGAGGAGGAGGGAGGAGGAGGAGGAGGAGGAGGAGGAGGAGGAGGAGGGAGGAGGAGGAGGAGGAGGAGGAGGAGGAGGAGGAGAGGAGGAGGAGGAGGAGGAGGAGGAGGAGGAGGAGGAGGAGGAGGAGGAGGAGGAGGAGGAGGGAGGAGGAGGAGGGAGGAGGAGGAGGAGGAGGAGGAGGAGGAGGAGGAGGGGAGTGGTTAAGACCAGGTGCAGCTAGCACAAGGGCAGATGCTGCTACAGCTGCAGGCAGTGCCGCCATTGGCACAGCCAGTGCGGCTACAGCAGCAGCGTCCGCCTCAGTAGCAGCCACTGGCCTATCGGAGCAGCCAGCCAGTGCGTTTTACCCCCAGCCGCCAGACATGCTCTTCGACTCCTGTCTGCCCCTACCTCTCCCTCCCGAACTGGACCCGGATCTTTTCAACCCCTGCCCGCCCGCCAGCCCAGGCAGCAGCAACCAGCACCTCGCATACACGTGCCGCTGCAGCCTTACCAGCGGCAGCGGAGGTGCTGCTGCTGGTGCTGGTGGTGCTGGTGGGGGGCCAGAAGGGTCTGCTTTGGGTGGGTCAGCAGCGATGGGGTACCCGACCTTCCTGTCCACGTCCCTGTCGTCCTCCCCTGCGTTCAGCATGGCTGCTGGGTGCTGCAGTGAATCCCACTGGAATCGCAGGGAGCGTGTCGATCGGCCGACGAACCTGCATTCTGTCTCTGCTGCTGCCTCTGTTGCTGCCTCTGTTGCTGCCTCTGCTACTGCCTCTGCTGCTGCCACTGTTGCTGCGTCTGCTGCTACGTCTGGTGCTGCGTCCTGTGCCATCCGGGAGGTAGGAGATGAGGATGGTAAGGGATGGGAAGGGGGGGATGGAGAAGAAAGAGAAAGATTAGGTAGGGGAGGAAGAGCAAGTTATTATTCTAGTCCCCCTCCTCCTCCTCCTCCTACTGCTGCTGCTGCTGCTGCTGCTGCTGGCCCTGCTACTGCTGCTTCTGTTGGAGCAACCACTGCATCTGCAGCAGCAGCCGCAGGTGCAGCTTCGAATGCTGCTGCTGGTCCTGCTGCTGCTGGCCCTGCTGCAGTAGCAGTAGCTGCTGGAGACCTCGTCCCAGACAGCCTGCCCCCCCCTTGGGCGTCCTCCCCCCAGCCTGCCCCTTTTGATGACGCCTCTTCCCAGGGGATGCAACCTCGCCCCGCCTCTCTTCTTCCTCCCTCTCTTCCTCTTGCTCCGTCCTCCACACCGAATGCACACATCCGGCTCGCTCCCAATGCTCGCTTCCGGGGGGGCCAGTTCCACGGCAATCCCGAGGCCTGCTTCAGCGATCCAATGCAGGGTGCTGCATGCGAGGACTGGACTCACGTCCAGGAGAGGAGGGATGGAGGAGGGGGAGGCGGAGGAGGGGGGGGAGGAGGAGGAGGAGGGGAGGGAGGAGGAAGAGGAGGAGGAGGCACGGGAGCGTTCGCCGTTCCTGACTGTTTCTTCCCTTCTGCAGCAAACTTAGCAGCACTGCGCGAGCACCTGGAGGGAGGTGAGAACGATAAAGATAACGCTAACGATGGTGGCTATCATGCCATCGCTTCAGCGCCCCTCGCTGCTGCTGCTGCTGCTGCTGAGGCGGCAGCAGCAGCTGCCTGTGCTGGCGCTGGTTCTGGCGCTGGTGTTGCAGGGTTGCCAGAAGCAGCGTTGATGCAGGAGTGGGGTGAAGGACTGGGAGGTGCATGTGAGCTGTATGCGCTGGACGAAGGGGATGGCCACGGGAGTAACAACACTGCCATGCAGCGACTTCACCACCACTATCAGCATCAGCAGCACCAGCAACAGCACCAGCAGCACCAGCTGCACCAGCAGCAGCACCAGCAGCACCATAGCCAGCAGCACGAGCTGTTGCGGCTGTTTGGGCAGCGGCAGGAGGAGGAGGGTGGGAAGCAGCGAGGGCGGGAGGGGAATGAGGCTGGGTGTGTTCGGGGGCAGGTGGAGCAAGAGCAGCAGGAGGAGCGGCAGCTGGTGCTGGAGTGGTCGCAGTGGCAGGAGACGCAATGCGCCGAGGAGGACGACTGGGACGGGGTGCATGCTGGTGATAGGTACGTTTGGGAGCGGTACGGTGGTGATGGGCGAGTAGGTGGAGGAGAGCAGGCCTGGAATGGTGGCATGGAAGGTGCAGATGAGGCTGTAGCAGCTGCTATTGGGGTGAGAGAGTACCATGCGCAGCACCTGCAGCAATACCAGCCACCGCAGGGATACCAACGGCAGCATGAGCAGCAGCAGCCGCAGCAGCAGGGACACGTACCCCTGATGCCCCACCGCTCGAGCTCGGCGCCTTCTCCTCCCTTGCCTTCTCCCCACACCCTCACTTCCAGTGCGAGCCGCAGCAGCGCCACTGGCATCAGTGGTTGCATGAGTGCTGCTGCTGCTGCTGCTGCTGCTGCTGCTGCTGCTGCTGCTGCAGGACTGCGAGGAGGGCAGGCAGTCAACGGCCACGGCCACGGAAAGGGAGGGGCCGGCGCCAGCGGTGGCAGGTGCGGGTGTGAGGAAGGGGAGGCGGTTACGGTGGGGAAAGACAGCCGATTGGGAAGTAGGGAGGGAAGCAACAGCGATGGGAGTGCTGACTTAGCACTGCAGCAGAGAGCTTTCAATGGCCGTGATCCTCACATAGGAGAGGCGACCTATGGGGCTTTGCCCCTGTGTGTAGAAGCAACCACGCCCCAAGCAGGGGTAGGAGATGCTTCTAAAATGGCCATGGCTGCGGAAGCCAGGAGCTTGGTGCGTGACGGCGGGCACCTCCAGGCGCTCCTTCCCCTGCGTGAGGAGGGTTGCCACCTTGGCCACGGGGGTCATCTAGACTTGAACTTGCTGGGCTTTCCTACGCCGCCTGCATCTCCGGGCTTTGATGGGGCAGCAAGGGCTGAAATTGACAACTTGGGTACTCAAGAAGCCGAAGCGATCTCGCTGATACACTGGGCTGATGAGCCTGCTGTCTTTTGAGATGTGGACGCAGGTTTTGGCGTTTTTTGTTGGATTAGATTTCCTTTTTTGATATGCTTGTGTTTTATTATACCCTTACATGAGCTGTTTGTAGGAAGGTGCTCCATTTGTGTCTCGCAAATGAAACAAGTTGGAGATGTAATGGTATGTATTATAACTCAGAGTATAGTGCAGAATACTATAGGGAAAAGTGATTACAGAATGTCCACAATAATGAGGCCTAGGGCTTATATAGTGCGAGTTGACCAGGGTTGAATATCGAGGGTTGGACCAGTCAAGGATTCGATAGTCCCGAGGGTGACGGGGTCAAAATGGGTTCGGAGCGACTCGGGATCAAGTTGGGGCCGAAAAGGTCGACGGGGGCTGGTTTGGCGCGAGAACCAAGGGCCGAGCCTGCAGACCTGAACTGTTAGCGTGTACTCGCTTTCGCGAGCCCCAGTAAGGAATCATAATTCCTTACATGTAAGACTAGAGGCATACTACCCCAAGACTGAAGTGTTACAAGCTCTGATTCACTCGGAAAACCAAGGTTTCCGTTGGACGTCGCGGCTGCTGCGGGATGATGGACCTCGCGCGATACGACGGCAGGAGATTGTTGGTGGCGGGAGGAAGTGAAATTTGTTGTGTTCCATTTCCCCATTGGTCCACCTTGCCCAACCAGATCGCGTTCGCTGAGTCCAACACCGATTTCGTGAACGAATAAACTTTACCTTGGGCAGTAGACGAGGGAAGAAGTCCCTCGCACCGTGATAAAAATATTTTAAACCGTGATGCATGACTCTCGCACCGAGGGTAGAGACTTTGGAGGCGAAGAAATTTTCCGATGGTGCGGCTCGGCTTGTGATTTGGCGGAAGAGCTCCAATAGCGCTCACGCCTTTGAGAAATCCCCAATGCGGCTCGCACATGACGTGGGGGTTCAACAAACTCAAACTCGGATGCTTGCAGTGGCGGTCGCCATTCATTCCTGACCGTGGCGGCGCACAACCGACCAAATCTCTCAGCCATTTCATGAGCGAGACGACGACAGCCAACAGAATGCACGGCACAGCAACATCTCCCTGATTGAAAGGCTTCCGTGTCGTTTGAGGGTGAAACGTCGATGTGAGCTGGATCGCCATCAGCGGTACCTCATACCTTTCAAAGCGCTACTTTCACAATCGAGAGCAATCTGATCGTCGTACTGCTAGCTCGAGCCCTATCAGGGCGCAGAACCTTCCGATGGAATGCCATATGCCTCTCCCGTGTCTTCGGTTGCAGTAGTCGCGCGAGCTTTGATCTCTAGCACACGTTTCCAAGTGCTGCCGTTGCCACTTCCTCGTTTCCGCCGCCTTGCTATTGCGACTTACATGTCCTAAGAATTCGATTACAGGCGGCCAGCACTTGCCCCTCCGTCCAGTAGTCAGCTCGACCAACGCCAGCTCTTGTATCCACTATCCCTGTTCCCTTCGTAACAGACCGCAAATAGCGACTCAGACGCTGCATATTGCGCCACACCGTTCTATAGTGGCCATTTCCGGTTCCTACCCCGTGAGTGGCCATGGCTTCATCTAGAGCATTCTCCCTTTACTCCTCAATTCCCTCAGCCGACGCCAACCATTCGTCTAGAATCCACCCACTCACCGACGACCCACCGTCAGCGAGTAAGCAGAAGCGTTTTGACACATGTTTCGGCGGGCCGCCGGACACCCCTCCCGATGGCCCCCCTTCCGCCAGCAAGCAGAAGCACCCGCCGCGCCGCAGGAGCATCTTGCGCCGCATGGGCGCGGCCGTGGACTTCGGGATTAACTACGTCTTTAGCGGGCTGGCGCGGGTGGTCGCGACGCATCCGATAGCCGTACTGGCGCTGATGATCGGGCTGGGCGTGCTGATGGCGTGCGGAGTGTTTAAGATGACCGTTGAGACCAATATAGAGGAGCTCTACACGCCCCAGGGCAACATCGCCTTCCAGAACCGGGTGAGGCTCGGTAAAGGCGGGTGAAAATGGGTACCGCTGGTAACGCTACGTAAGGTTGAGTAGACTGGTTTGGGCTGGAATAGGTTCGTGGTGCTAGCAGCACCCCTTTATCCCCTTCTCCGCATTTCTCTTCTGCACTTCTGTTCCCTTTCACAGCAATCCACGTGGTTTGATGTGCAGCCAGTGGTATTCTTGCGACTAAGGCAGGTGTCTCTCGGAGTCGAGGGACTCAGTAGGATACGTCAGGAGGAGTGTTTTGTTTTGTTTTTATGTTTTGTTCTGTTTTTTTTTTTTTTTTTTTTTTCCTGAACGAGCTTTCTCCTGTGCGTGTGTCAACCACGTGATCCGAAGCGCAGGACTACGTGGATTCGCTGTACGGCTACGAGGCGCTCGACGTGAAGGTCTTCGTTGTGTCCAAGGGCAACACCAACCGCACGCTGCTCACCAAACCCGCGCTGCTCGCGCTGCTCGACGTCTACGAGCTTATAACGAGGTAATCCAGCGAGTCCGCTTGCCAGGGAGGTTCTAGACCGGCGCTTTCCAATGCTGCGTTTTCTCCAGTCGTGTGCTGCTGAGAACCTGCAAAGGTTTTCTCCCCGGCCATCGCTTAGCGGCAACGATTTTAACTACTAGTGGCTCACTTAGCCCTCACCCTCTTCCCCCTCCCCCCTCCCCCCCCCCCTCCCCCTCACCTCGATCCCTCCCTCCTCTTTTACCCCCAAAATCCCTTCCCGCAATTTCCGTTTCGTTTTTTCCATTCCTTCGCCTGGCAGCGTGAATGCGACGTACAATGGGTCGACGTTCAACTACGCGGATCCGCGCATCTGCTACCGCCCGGGCGGGCAGAACACGCCGTGCCAGGTGGTCAGCGTGCTGGACTACTGGGGCTACTCGCGCGCAGCGATTCAGCGGGATAAAGACATCATGACGACCCTCAACAACCCCTTCGTGCTGGTGCGCACCAACCAACCCGTCGCTACTACTCTCTCGTCCAGGCTCTTCTTGCCAGTCCAGTCGTGCGCTCATTGCAACTTGTGAGCCTGTCGCCGCCCACGCTTTGATCACCTCCCTTCAAACTCAACGCACACGCACGGTTCGTCCCCTTCCCGCCCTACGACATTCCCCATCGTTTCCCCGTTCCCTTACCCTCCCCCCCTCCTTCCCCCTTCCCCCTTCCACCCCTCTCCGCTTCTTCCTCCCCGCCAGACGCGGTACGGGCAGCCGGTGCCGCAGGACTGGGTGGTGGGCGTGCAGACGAAGGACCCGGAGACGGGCGAGATCGCGGAGGCGAAGGCTTTTCTGCTGACCATGTTCGTGCAGAACAACAAGGGGTGCTCGGGCAGCAGCTGCAAGGACTACTACGTCGACGAGTGGCAGAAGGCCATCGACGCTCCCGTCAGAGCGGTGAGTCAGTGCTGGGGTGCGATGGGGAGTCGTAGCACATGTGCTGTGGTGATAGGGGTGCTCGGACAGCAGCTGCAAGGACTGCTGGGTCGACGAGTGGCACAAGGCTGTCGACGGACCCGTGCGAGCGGTGAGATGTTGCTAGGGCGCGCGATAGGGAGTGGTAGCGCAAGGGATGGGAGGGTGGTGTAGTGGTAGAGGGGATGGCAGCAGCTGCAAGGCCTTCGACGGACCCGTCAGAGCGGTGAGTTGTTGGGGGGGGAGCGCGCGCGTAAGCAGTTGACAGGCGAGTTTGACCGGAGAGCGACGAGTATCTCCTCTCCTACGGCTCGGAGGCGAATGGTCAGAGGCACCTCGCCGTACAGCAGAGAGGAGGAGTGGTAGAGCGATAGGATGCCCTGTCAAGAGTTTAGTGGGGGAAGGAGGTTGGTGGACGGGAAGAGGAGAGAGGCACCTCCCCGTAGGGCAGAGACGAGTGGTAAGAGGGACAGAATGTTCTGTTGAGAGGTAACTGGGGGAAGGGGAGATGGTGTGGGGGACGAGGAGAGCAACACGTCCCGTGCAGCAAAGCGGAGTGGTAGAGGGACAGGATGGCCTGTTGAGAGCGACGAGATCGACGGGTATCTGCGGTCGAACTCTGGCCAGCAGGCGCTCCGCCCCTTGCCCCGCCCCCCACCCCTAACGCCCCGTCCTCCCTCCCCCCCCCCCCCCGCAGTTCTCGAGCGACGAGATCGACGTGTACTTACTCTCCTACTGGGGCCAGCAGGCGGCGAGCGACAGCGCGATAACCGCGGACGTGAACCTCTACTTCGCGTCGGCGTTTCTCCTCCTCGCGTACAGCCTGCTCATCCTCTTCCGCCGCCACCCCGTGCACTCGCACTGCTACCTGGCGCTCGTCAACATGGCGTCCATCACGCTCGCCGTGCTGGGATCGTACGGCGTGTGCAGCCTGTGCGGGCTCAAGTTCAGCCTCGTCACGCAGTCGCTCGCGCTGCTGCTGCTGGGGCTGGGGACAGACGACATGCTCGTCACCATGGCGGCGCATGACGAGGTGAGCGGCCGGGCGAGCCTTCTTTCAATATATATGAATAATTTAAAACAGACAGCTGCTGCTGCTGGGGCTGGGCACAGACGACATGCTCGTGACCATGGCGGCCCACGAAGAGGTGAGGGAGGGGCGGGGAGGGGCGGGTGAGAGGGTGAGAGGGTGAGAGGGTGAGAGGGTGAGAGGGTGAGAGGGTGAGAGGGTGAGAGGGTGAGAGGGTGAGAGGGTGAGAGGGTGAGAGGGTGAGAGGGTGAGAGGGTGAGAGGGTGAGAGGGTGAGAGAGGGGTCAAATGGTTTCAGAGGTGGTGAGGTGATGCTCGTCGTGCCACCTGCTATCCTGTCCCGTGACAAATGGTCTCATGGTTGAAGCCTCCTCGGAAGGATTCGAGGTGACTTTTGAGTCGACTCAAAAGTCACCTCTTCGGAAGGATTCTTCACCTGCTATACAATCAATGGAGAAACCACGAAACCGCATCAATGGAAAGCACCACATCAATGGAAAGCACACCATTCTTTTCATCCTACCTGCCTTGGGAACCACCCAAGAATTACTCCGTTGCTTCTTTGTTCGTTCCGAGCATCATCATGACCCCGCCTCATCCTTCCCCCTTCCGCCTTCCCCCTTCCGCCAGACCGCGCGGGACTTCCCGAACGCGTCCGTCGTGGACCGGATCGTCGCGACGGTCTCGCGCGCGCGGCGCGGCGTGATCGTCGCAGCGCTCACCAACTTCGTCGCCTTCTGCACCGGCATAATCTCCGAGCTTCCCGCGCTGCGCGATTTCATGATCTACGCCGCCGTCGGCGTCGTGCTGGTCTTCGTCTACCAGTCCACGCTCTACGTCGCAGTGCTCACCCTAGATCTTAGGCGGCAGCGCGCGAACCGCCTCGACACGCTCTGCTGCGTCGTCAGCGCCGCCGGGCCCACCGACGGCTGCTGCGGGCGGCCGTACGATCGGAACAAGCCCGGGGTGGATCAGACGGTCATCGGGCACTGGCTGCCGGCGGTAATACTCCATCCCGTTGGAAAGGTCCTCGTCGTTTTATCGACGTTAGGGCTACTTGCCGTGGGAATCTACGGCGCGTGTAACGTTACGCAAAATTTTAACATTGACTGGATGGTCCCCGACGGCTCGTACGTGCGCGACGTGTACCGGATCCGATCGCAGACGTTCCCGCTCGCGTCCGGGCAGGGCGCGCTACCCGTGTACGTGTACACGACGAACCCGACGGCAAACTTCACGACGGTTACCAACACGTCGTCGGGCTCATCGCGACCCGAGGCGTGGGTCGTGCCCGCAGCAGCGGGAGACGCGGCGAGCGCGCCGATGGACTATTTTAAGATGCAGGACGAGCTGGCGGCGCTGGGCGTGCGGCTGCAGGAGGACCCGTACGTGTCGTTCTCGCCGCCCGTGCAGTCGTGGTTCGCCAACTACCTCATCTGGCTCTCCGCCTCGCCGCACGCGCCGCTTCTCGACGCCAACGGACGGTGAGCCCCGCACCCACCCCCGTTCCCCTCCATCCCGGCCCCCCACCCCCCCCCCTCCCTCACCCCCGCCCCCCCCCTGCACACCTCAGTGAGCCCCGCGAATTGGCGGTGGACGCGATGCCAACGAGGAACCTTGTCATGTCTCTCCCCTCGCCTCTCTGCTCCTCGCATTCCTCCCTTTCCCTCGCAATTTCCAGCTTCATCGCTCCCTTCACTCTGCTCCACTCCCCTGCCCCCTCTTATCTCAACTCGTACATTTCCGCCGGCCCTCCCCCCCCACCCCCCTCCCCCCCCCCCCCCCCCTCCACCCCGCCCACGTCGGAGTTGTGCTGCTCGTGGCTACACGAGTTCCGCGCAAGCCGGACGTGGTGTTACTGTGTCCAACCACCCCCCTTCCCCCCTTCCCCCCGCAGCCCGCCCACGTTGGAGCTGTTCTACGAGTGGCGCACGAGTTCCTGGGGTCGCTGAAACGCAAGCGCGCAAGCTGGGCGTGGTGTTACTTTGACCAACAATCCTCACTCCCCTTCCCTCTTCCCACTACCTCTCCCCATCACTTCTCCCCCCCCCCCCTCTCCCCTCCCGCAGTCCGCCCACGTCGGAGCTGTTCTACGAGTGGCTACATGAGTTCCTGGGGTCGGTGGGGCGGCGGTTCCGCCTGGACGTGGTGTTCGACCAGGGCAACTCCAGCGTCATCCTCTCCTCACGCATGTTCGCCATGACACGCGGCCTCAACAACAGCGGCCAGCAGGTCCGTCCGTCCGTCCGTCCGTCCTTCCGTCCGCCCATCTGCTTGACTGCCACCGGCTGCATTTGCTATGTTGTATCCTCTCCTGGTTCTTCTCCACTTGCTTTCCTCCTCTGCAATGTGCCATGCTCTTTATTCCACCACCCACCAGCACGTGCTCCTCTTAGCCCCATCTCCCCCATTCACCATCCCACCCCACACTCCCCACCTCACATCAGGTCGATGCCATGAACTCGATTCGCGCCTCCGCATCCTCAGCAGCGCCCACTCTGCAGGCTTTCGCGTACACGTTCCCCTTCATCTTCGTGGAGGGCTACGCCGTCATCCAGCCCGACACCGTCCTCGCCATCGCCATCGCAGGCGGGGTGGTGTTCGCCATCATGCTGCTGCTGCTCGCCGACCTCACCTGCAGCGTGCTCGTGGCGGTGATGGTGGCGGCCATTGGGATTGAGCTGGTTGGGTTCCTGTACTGGTTTGGACTCGCGTTTAATTCGGTGACGTCGATCACGCTGCTGCTGGCCATCGGGATTGCGGTGGACTACTCAGCTTTCACTGCCTTCTCGTTCCTCTCCCAGGTGTGTGTGTGTGTGGGGATGCGTGGGGATGTGGGGGGATGTGTGGGGGGATGTGTGGGGGGATGTGTGGGGGGATGTGTGGGGGGATGTGTGGGGGGATGTGTGGGGATGTGTGGGGATGTGTGGGGATGTGTGGGATGAGTTGCTATCATCTGCAGCCTCCATTCCCACTCTCCCTCGTGCATTGCTACGCATTAGTGACACGCACTCTGGGCTCCAAACACACACACGCACACACAAACGCTCACACTCTCGCATCTCCCCTTCATCCGCAACCCCGTTCCTCACTAGTCCACTCCGTGCTATGCTTTTCGACTCCCTCTGTCCCGTGCCCTGTGGGAATCAAACCACACCAGGTGGGCACGCGGCAGGAGCGGGCACGGCGGGCGCTGAACCACCTGGGCGTGGCGGTGTTCAACGGGGGCTTCTTCATGTTCCTCTCCATCCTCCCGCTCGCCCTCGCCAAGTCCTTCGTCTTCCAAACCTTCTTCAAGGTATGTCTGTGCCTCTGCCTCTGCGCCTGTGTCGGAAGCTGCACCCCGGTCTCACAGCCACAGCATCTTGGCAAGAAGCAGTACTGCATTCCCGGGCGTTCGGGATATCCTGCCCACCCAACCCCACCTGGTCCTAGACCCTTCCCATCCTTTTTTGTGCATGCCAAGTCTGTGGTGGCACCTTCCCCACCACAATCAACTCCTTGTTCCCCTCCCCCCCTTCCCCATCCACACCCCTCCCTCCAAAACCCCGTGGCTTATCAATCACCTCCCAATCCCCCCCCACTCCAGATGTTTTCGATGATTGTGGTGCTTGGTCTGTGGCATGGGCTGTGCACACTACCCGTGGTGCTATCCCTCATTGGCCCACCGCCGTTTGAAACGTCCGAGGAGGCGCACCAACTTCGGCAAGGCACAGCGTCGGCCCGAGTGGCTGATGCCGTAATGCCTGATGAGCTGCCAGGTGCTTGTTCAGGGAGTGCTTGTAGCGACATGGTGACTCCAGTGAAGCAAACTGTGTGTGCCACAATGCCCTCAGCTCCTGCTGTTGTCATGATGACAACGTTGTAACAAGATGAAGCTGCGGTGCTAGTGGTGCGAGTAATAAAATTGGTCATTGTTGGACATCTAGAAAGCCCTAGGCTTTCTACTCAATTTGCTGACTCTTAACATGCTATGGAGTGTCCGTTGGTTAGGGCTTGTGTGCCAAATTGGAGCTTGTCACAGTAGTTGATTGAGCTTCTCACTCCATAAGTAATTTCATTTATATAGTGAAATAACATGTATGGTACCGAATCTCTTGCACCATAAAAACTGAATGCGTTGTACAACATGACCTCCTCGCCGTTAATCAAAATCCAGAAGTGCCGTTTCGGTTGGGATAAGGGGCTAGCATCATGATGGGAAAATTATACGCTGGGTAACTCTTACTCTTCGATTTCCCGATTTAGCCGATCTTTTCTCATCTCAGTCAATGTTTTATCGAATCGAAACCAGCAGCGTCAAACGTTTTGTTCAGTTTGATGCCGCATGGCAAAATATTTCGACACGTGTCCCAGAAATGCCATGGTCTCAAAACATCGACAGATAAATCCTAAACGTCCAAATTTTGAAGAGAAAACTGCATATCTGGTAGATTTTCTGTCCCCGTAAACATTCGCACACAGCTACGCGACGCGTTATTGAGATACAGACATGTCGATTAGGGCAGCCTGAAACAAAATAAAACCCGCAGCAGCCCGTATATATACGGACATGTGAATTAGGGCAGACTGAAACAAAATAAAACCCGCAACGGCCCGATATTTCGACTTTGGGTGGCATCAACCCTAAAGACGAACAAAGCCGCGAGTTTAGAATTGATTCCACCGCGAGTCGCATGCGGGCTGCTGAAGGTTTGAGTTTTGTGGGCATCCCGAAAAACAAAATGTCAGAAATAGTAACATAAGACTAGTTTACACCTTGAAGAATGGCTTGTTAAATTTCAGCAACGAAAATAATGTTTTTCCATTCGGGGATTTTTGTAACAGGCAGTAAATTCGCACACGTTCATTGCGCAATTTGTGTGCGCTTCGTCTGCTCACTGTTTCTAGCCACAAAAAGACAACACTTGGCTAAGTCAATTTCACAAATATAATCTACCGTGAAATTTGAATGTGAGTGAAATTGAATGTTTTTCTTCAGATAGATTTTCTACTGGTTTGTCACTAGGTGGTGGAGCCCCTCACATCTCAACTCAAGCGGAGACGGAATTCTCAAGAGACACAAAAATGATACACGCCACGCCATCTGTTCTTGTTCTGAAGCTGAGGAGGCAGGAGCTACGGTAGGTGCCGTCCGTTTCCGTCGCTCTCCGTCAACGCCTCTATCGCTCGCTCTCCATTCACCTTTACACCTGCCTTACCGTTTCGTCTCGCCACCGCCTGTCGTAGATGCCTCCTACCTTCACCTTACGAGCCATTCGCTCTCAAGTGATCGCAAGCCTTTTCCTCGAGATTCGTTTGGCGAGACGATGGCGGACGAGGAAAGCTAGAGTATGTACTACCACCCGTTGACTGACGCGCCTTGTTGCGCTTTGTTCCGTCGCACGGCAATGACCGATTCGTTAAAAGAGTCTTGATTGGCCTCACTTCCCGCTTTATTCAAGCAACAGGCAGCCCACTGATCGCTCCGTTCCTGGCGCGTCCGATCTGATGGATCCGACGGCGCCCATCGCTTTCTGCGAAGCTTCAATCCACGCCGTCGATTCCCCTGTCGAGCCCTGCGTAGCGGAACCTGCAACACCTGCAAAGACTGGCTTCCCTCATCAGCCTTCTGCTGCTGTCTCCGACACAGAGCCCCCTAGTGAAGCAATAGCGACTAGTTTTACGCAGTCCCCTACAGATCCCCCTGCAGAGCCCCTGACAGAGCCCCTGACAGAGCCCCTGACAGAGCCCCTGACAGAGCCCCTGACAGAGCCCCTGACGGAGCTTCCTACAAACCCCCCTGCAGAGTCATCTGTAGCGGGAATCACGGCCGTCCAACGTCCGCTTCGTTCATCCACTTCATTCACACCGTCTCCTGCTTCCGCTTCTTCGACCGCATCCTCGCTGCACGCCTCCTCGATTGTGATCGCGTCTCCCTCCGCGTCGCTCGCCGCATCGTCCATACCCCCCTCCTCGTCCTCCTCGTCTACCTTCTTCTCCAATCCCCCCTCTGCCAATCCCTTGTCTAATCCCTCAGCCAATTTCTCTGCCAACCACTCCAACTCCCTTTCCGCATGGTCCCCATGGCATCTCCTCCTCTCCTATTTCGCATCCCCACCCTCTCCCTCTCTCCCATGCGACGACGTCCTTACATCCGATCGCCTGCTCGCGCCGCTCCCGCTCCCCCCTGGCACTAAGAAGAGCGTATTCGCGCTGCGGCACCCTGTCAGCGGCGCGGTCGTCTATGTGGTCCCCACGACCTTCCTCTCGCGCCAGTCGGAGCAGGACACGTGGCAGTTGATCTCCGCCGTGCGGCCTGACGTGGTGGTGGCCCAGGTGTCGCTCTATGACCGGCTGCTGCTGCTGGAAGGGGAGATGGGGAGATTGCCAGATGCAAGCGCGCGGGGGAGGGGAGAGGGTAGTGATTGCACAGGCGACGGAGAGGGAGAAAGGGAGGGAGAAGGGGGAGAAGAAGGGGGAGCAGCGGTCAGAGACGCAGCAGGTAACGAAGGAAGGGATGAAAAAGGCCGAGAGAGAGGGGGACAGGCAAGCAGAAACAGAAGAAAGCCAGCAGCAGCAGAATCAGCGCAACCATCACCAGCAGCAGCAGCAGCAGCAGCAGGGCTACAACAGCAGCAGCAAGTCGAGCAGACGGCCAGAGGGCAGTTACCTTCAACGGCAGTGGGCGTGGTGGCATGCGCAGCGCTGCAGCGCGTGGACGGCGCGAGCATGCGGCGGTGGGGCGTGCAGCACCTGGTGGAAACCATCTTCGGCGCGCACGTCGCCGGGCCCCTCGCTGCTGCGCGCTCCCTGTCCGCCGCCCACGGGTCCAAGCTGCTGTATCTTGTTGACCCGGGCTTGGCCGCGGGGAGAGGAGGGGGAGGGGACGGAGTAGGAGTAGGAGGAGGAGAAGGAGGGGGATGGGGAGGGGAGGAGAGTGAGATGAAGCTGGGGATGAAGGGAGCAGGGCAGCAGGTTGGGGTGGGGTGGGGGGAGGAGGGGGGAGATTGGGAGTACAGGCGCAGCTTTTGCCCAGCTCTGTAACGATAGAGGAGGTTGATGAGAGGGGCCCCCATGCAGAGTGTGGCGTTCCAGAGTGTGTGGTGGTAGTGAGTGAGGGGGGGGAAGAGGGGGCGAGTGAAGAGGAGAGGAGGAGTGTGGAGCCTACTGCAATGTCTGCTGCTGTGTCTGGTGGCCCCTCCCATCGGAATTCGGTGCCCAGTGCTGGTGGTGGTGGTGGTGGTGGGCAGGCAAGGGGGAGTAGCAGCAAAGAGTGCGCCTTTAGACTGTGCTTTGGTAGCTCGTACACAGAACAAGTAACGAGGAACGTTGGTGCTCACGCCGCTGCTGCTCCTCCCGCCGCTGCTGCTCCTCCTGCCCCTGCTGCTCCTCCGTATCTTTCCTCGGCTGGTGGTGGTGGAAACGTCGCTGGAGGGGCAGCACAGCCAAGGGACGGCCAACCACCCGCACTGTTACCATCACTATCATCTTCACCGTCACTATCACCTCCACCGTCACTATCAAGTTTATCATTATCCCTCTCAGGAGCATCAGCACCAGCAACGTCAGATTCAGCTGCAAGTGAAGGCACTGCAGCTTCCAGCCTTCATCCTCCCCCTCCGTCTCCTCCTCCGCCTCTGCCACTTCTGCCTGACGTTGCGAGTCGCTTCGCCCTTGTACAGTTCGGCCCTAAAGCTCTAGCGCTTCTCCCACCACCCGCCGCAACATTCAGCACGCTTGCTGCTACAGGCACTGCCGCTACATCCGGTGCCACATCCCCTCAATCATCCAACTACGAGCCTACTGGTCAAGGCCAACCTCTTTTGCACCTAGCAGAGACATCACCACCGGCCGCATCAGCAGCAGCAGGAGAAGCAGCAGGGAATGGAGAGAGGGCAGGAGGAGAGAAGGAGGTTGCGTGGGCGGACAGGGACGTGGCGAGGGGGGTGCTGGCAGTGCTGTCAACGTACGAGCAGGCGTTCCGACAGATGCAGGGGATGAGGGAGGCTGCTGCTGCTGCCCGGCTGCTGCTGGCTGTTGCTGTGCAGGACGAGAGTGGGGAGGCAGAGGACAGACAACAGGAGGAGGGTGAGGGGAGGGGCGAGGGAAGGGGCGAGGGAAGGGGCGAGGAGGAAAGGACGCAGGGAAAGGGTAATGGGGGCAGGCATGCTGCTGCTGCTGCTGCTGCTGGTTCTCCTGCTGATGTCGATCCTCTCATTACTGGGGGCAGGAAGGCTGCAGAAAAATCCTTGTCACTAGCAGACCCGTTACTGACAGAGGCTGCCAAGTACCTGTCACTGTACGGGCATCTGGCGGACGTTATTCGCGAGGTGGAGATAGAGCAGGCAAAGGCAGCCCCCCTGGATCCGTCTGCATCTGTGGTCACGCGACTGGTTGAAGGGAAGACAGGTGGAGGGAGAGAGGGGAGAGGAATGGGAGGAGAGGGAGGAGGGGCAGGGGGGGGAGGGGGAGAAACGGGAGGTAGTGCGGGGGAGAGTAGAATTGAGGAGGTAGGAGGACGAGGGGAAGGGCACAGAGTGGGAGGGGAGGGAGCAGGAGAGGAGGGAGAAAGGAAAAACGAAGACGCACACAGTAACGAGGGTTCCAGCGGAGGCAGTGGTGCCTGCGGTGATGAGAGTGGGGCCGCAGAGGAGCAGAGAGCCCGCCAGGCGTTGGGGCATTCTCAGGGGGCTGAGGAGGGCAGGCTCAGGCGTTTCTTCAGGTGGTTTCGCGGTGACATGGTGAAGGAGAGAGAGCTAGGTGATGTTTCCGCTAGGAAGGAGCGAGTGGTGGAGGAGGAGGCGTCGAGTAGATGCAGGGATGTGGACCATGGGGTGGGAGACGACGAAGGACCGGGAGCGGAAGGAACGAAAGGAGTGCAAGGAGCGACAGGTGCTGGTACAGAAGAGACGGCTGTCTCGGTATCCTCGGTGTCTGCAGCGCACTCGTCTCTGGTAGGGCTGCAGCAGTTATTAGAGCTAAGTCGGGAAGAGCAGCAGGAGGTGCTGCTGGTGCAGGCCATCGAGAGCGAGGCGGCAGCGCTCAAGCCCGGCCAAGCCATGGTCGTTACTCTCTCCACGTCCCTCCTCCCTCTCCTCCGCCGCTCCTGGCCCGCCATCTCTGCTGCTGCCGCTGCTGCTGCTCCTGCTGCTCCTGCTCCTGCTCCATCTGCCCCTGCGGCAAAGCACAGACCTAGACTGTCCTCCTCCTCTCTTGCTGAAGCCACGGCCTCAACCGTCACCGCTGCCACTGCAACTCAGTTACCCAGTAACACAGGACGTAGTGGTGCTGGTGGCGGTGGTGCTGGTGGTGGGATTAGTGGCAATGGGAATGGTGGTGCCAGTGGGGCGAGGGCCAGGCAGAGCAATGATGCTGATGAGCCTAGCCTATCGTCCAAAGCTGCAGCAGGTGCTACTGAAGCAGCAGCAGCAGCAGCAGCAGCACCAGCAGCAGCAGTAGATACTGCACAGACTTCAGAGCCATCAGCATCAGCATCAGCAACAGCAACAGCAACAGCAACAGCAGGAGCAATAAAGAAATCAGTTTCTACTGCCCCACCTCCAGCACCACCATCTCGCCTATCCCCAGGCCTGTCGCCGAGCCTGCGGGCATTGGCTAGGGAGTGCCTCATACCTGCACATCTCTTCGAATCCCATGCTGCTTCTGCTGCTGCTGGCAGAGGGTCTGTCCACCCTTTCGCTGCTCTCTCCCCTGCTACGCGTGCCCTTCACAATACCGCCATGAGTGGTAACGGTGGTGGCGGTGGCAGTGGCAGCGGTGGGGGTGGTGCAGCAGGGGCAGTGCAGAAAGCGCCAGCACTGGCAGCAGCAGGCGCAGGAGCAGGTGCGGCTCTAATCCTCATCACCTTCTCGTCCCTCTCCAAGACCCTCTCCCTCTCCGCTCTGCTCAAGCTGTTCACCTTTAAAGCCGCCTCGATTGCAGCAGGAGGAGCCAAGGGGAAGCTCCTATCGCTCCTAATGCACCGGCTCGTGACAGCAGTAGGAATGAAAGCGTCTGCAGCGGCTGTGACAGGGCCGCTAGGAGCCAAGGTGGCTCTTCTCGCAGGGAAGGTGGGCATGCATGGCAAGATAGCAGCCGTAGGAATTGGAAAGGTAGGGGCGATGGCAGGTGGTTCTGGTACTGCTGCTGCGGCTGCTGGTGCTGGGAAGGCTGTTGCCACTGCTGCTGCTACAGGGGCTGGAAAGCTGGCAGGGTCAGCTGGGCTTGTGGCTGGAACCGGGAAGGTGGCAGGAGGGTCTGCTATGCTAGCTACCGGTGCTGGGAAGGCAGCAGCAGCGGGGGGTGCAGTTGGTGCAGGTTCAACAGCAGCAGGGTCATCAGTGGTGGGTGTTGGAGTGGGCAAGGTGGCTGGGACTGGGATGGGTGCAGCAGGGGGCAAGTTGGTGGGAGCAGCAGGTAGTGCGGCAGGGAAGGCGGCAGCTGCAACAAAAGCAGCAGGTGCTGCAGCGTCCGGTGTGGGAAAAGCAGTGGTGGGTGTTGGAGGGAAGGCGGCAGGTGCAGGTGCAGGTGCAGGGAAGGTAGCTGGTGCAGCTGGTGGGAAGGCAGCAGGAGCAGTCGGAGGAAAAGTGGCAGGAGGTGTTGTGGGTGGAGGCAAGGCAGCAGGAGGGTCTGTGGCTTCTGTGGCGGGTGCCACGGGGTCCGGTAAGGCTACTGGCGCTGCTGTTACTGCTCCTGCTGCTGCCTCTGCCGTTCCTGCTGCTGCGTCTGCTGCAGCTTCTGCTGCGGCGACAAGTGTTGCCACGGGTGCTGCCACAGGTGCAATAACTGGTGCTGTAGGTGCAACCACAGCAGCAACCACTGCAGCAACCACAACAGCAACGGCAGCAGCAGTGGCATCAGCGACCAAGTCAGGCGTGGCAGCAGCAGCGGCAGCAGCAGCGAAGGTGGGGGGTTGGGCGGGCACAACAGCACAGCTGGTGGTGGACTCGGCGCACAGAGCAGCCTGGCAGCTGCTGCGAGCCGTGCTGTACAAGCAGATGCGGGAGAGGTCCCGAGGCAAGACCCAGCCCCAGCAGCAGCAGGTGCAGGTGCAGAGTAGTGCAGTGGACGCTGGCTCTGCTGCTGTCCTGACAACAGCAGCAGCAGCAGCGGTGTCTGCTCCTCCTGTGTCTGGTGCGGATGTTACAAGTCGAGCGGAAGCTCTTGCTGCTGTTGTAACGTCTGCGTCCTCCTCACAAGGGAGCATCAGCTCTGGCGGCACACAGGCGCCCACAGTACCACCCACTGGGGGAGCAGTACCAGGAGGAGGAGGAGGAGGAGGAGGAGGAGGAGGAGGAGACTCAGCTAGAGCAGGGGGGCGGGTGGCCCTGTGGCTGCAGCAGCAGGGCAGGCACCTGCGGGAGAGCCTTACCAGCACTGCCACCGAAGGGGCGAACGAGCGGGCGTGGTTGACTCTCGGAGCAACGATCGGCACTGTGGCGTTGGTGTCAGCGTACCAGGAGGAGATCCTGTACGGGGTGGCCGTGCTGCCAGATGCGCAGGGGATAGCCCGTGTGGGAAGAGGGGTGAGGCGGGTGAGGGATGTGGTAGAGGCTGTGCGGCCGCCGGAGCATAGGCTCGACCAATTGGGTTGTGTGGCGGAGGTGAGGGAGGTGAGGGGTGTATGAGGTTGTGAGCGAGGCTACCTGGGAGAAAGAAGTCAGTTTGTTCCATGCAAGTGGTGGGTTGGTGTTGTGAAAGCAGACTAAACATATATTGTGATGCCAAATTCATATTCCACAATGAACATTAGCATGTCACACGAATCCCATTGGGCTGTACACGGTTTACAAAGTAGCAGCTGTTAAAATTATATAAGTTATAATTTAATATAGGCTTGGTAGGTTGTTACTGAACCTTTCTGTAGGGGGTACAAACCCCTCCTTGTACTCCCCTCTCTTCCTAATCCAACCACCTTTCTTCTCGACATCCTCTCACCTCCTAGATCCGTTTTTCCTCACGCCATTCCATGGCGGTCTTCTTCCTAGTATCCTAGCCAACCTAGCCTCCTAAGTTTAAGAACCTTTAGTCCTAAGTTTCTAAGATGGTATCAGAGCAGGAGATCCTCCCTGTTGGATCGCCTCCTCACGCTTCCGCAATTTACTCCTCACTCTCATTAGCTCGAGCGGCCATGGCGGCCGCGTTTTGCTGCAGTGGCGACGTCGCGCTGCCACTGGCCGCGTCGTGCCGCGACCGGCTCGACGCTCTGCCGTGGCGTCGGGCCGTCGTTCTGCAGTCGCAGCGTCGACGTCCCGCTGCGGCATCGATGCTGCCTCTGCCGTCGCGACGTCGACGTCCTGCTGCAGCGTCGACGGCGCCGTCGGGCCGCAGCCGGTTGCGTCGACGCTTTGCCGTGGCAGCGTCACCTTGCTGCCGTTGCAGCGTCGGCGTGCCGCCACAGCGTCGACGCCGCGCCCTGGCGGCGTCGTCATGCTGCCGCGGCAGCGTGGATGGGCGGCAGCGGGCAGCACGCCGTCGTAACCGCCACCTGCCCGCCCTCCTGCCAGTAAGCGCCGCGCCACTTATGGCGCGTCGCTGAAGACTCGCCTCGCCCCGCCCCCTCCCCTCCCCCCCCCACCTGCACCTGCTTCCCCTGCATCCCCCCCTTTCTTGCTGCAGCCGATGACTGCCATGTGAGGGACCTCTCCACCGCCGAGGAGACAGGACATGCCGCCGAGAGGGCGGGGGCCGCCGCACCAGCCTCTGTCGTTCGAGCCGCCGGCGCCGCCGCTGTTGCCGCAGGCCTGGAGCCGCCGCACACCGCCGCCGCCGCCGCCGTCGTCACTGTCGCTGCTGCCGCCATTGCCGTCTCAAGGGGCCGTGAGACCTACCCTCTTCCGGAGTCGTTGCGGCTCCTGCTGGGAATGGGGGTGCTGGGCTAGGGGGTGTGGGTGTGGGTGTGGGTGTGGGGGTGTGCGTGGGCTTGACACTACCAAGCCTAGGGGGTGTGTTAAAATTATATAAGTTATAATTTAATATAGGCTTGGTAGGTTGTTACTGAACCTTTCTGTAGGGGGTACAAACCCCTCCTTGTACTCCCCTCTCTTCCTAATCCAACCACCTTTCTTCTCGACATCCTCTCACCTCCTAGATCCGTTTTTCCTCACGCCATTCCATGGCGGTCTTCTTCCTAGTATCCTAGCCAACCTAGCCTCCTAAGTTTAAGAACCTTTAGTCCTAAGTTTCTAAGAGCAGCACAGCACGGATGAATAAATAAAAGAGCACCCCGTAGCAGAATGGGGTCGCTGAGCGACGCATCGGTTTGGTCATGGAGGTGGCTCGTACCTCCATGATCCATGCCGTTGCACCCCATTTTCTGTGGCCGTTCGCCGTTCGCTACGCCGCTCACCAGCTAAACCTGTGGCCGCACCCCCAGCAGCCGCAGGTTTCGCCGACCCTCTTCTGGACCAGGTCTCCTCGTGACACGTCTGCTTTCCACGTCTGGGGCTGCCTTGCTCACGTTCGTGCCTCTGGCACGGACAAGCTCACCGCCCGCACCCTCCCCTGTGTCTTCCTAAGGTTCCCCCAAGTCTCGTCCGACTGGCACTTCTACCATCCGCAGTCTCACCGGTTCTTTCACTCCCGCGACGTCACCTTTGACGAGTCCGTCTCTTTCTACCGCCTCTTCCCCCACCGAGGTCCCTCGGTTACTCCCCCCCTTTTCCTCGTCCCCCCTTCCCCGATGGCCCCTGCCCCTCCCCCTCCCCCTCCCCGTCCTGCAACGTCTGGTGTGTCCCACGTCACCCCCCTCACGTCGGTTGTCCCGGTCGAGGAGTCTGCTGACTCTGGTTGTCCTGCGGCGCAGTCCTCGCAGCCTGTCCCTCACGAGGTGTCTCCTCCTCCATTGCCATCGCCACCTCTGTCGCAGCTGCCGTCAACGCCGCCGCTGCAGCCGTCGTTGCAGCCGCCCCCTCCTCTTCCTGTCTACGGCCCTATGTTCCCTCCCCCGGACTCGTCTTCCCCCCCGTTCCCCTCCTATGTCTCCTCCTCTGTCTCCTGACCCGACGGCTCCGTCTCACGTCTGGTCTCGCCATCCCTCTCATGCTCGCCCTGTCTCCCCTGTCCCGCACTCTCACCCTATGTTGCTTCATTCCCACGCGTCTCGTCCTCCCCCCCTGGCGTCGCCTTCTCCGTCCTCCCTTGTTGTTGCGCCTCCCCCTCTGTCTGACTACCTTCGTGCCGCTCATCCTTTTGTTCCTCGGGTCCTTACCTCTCTCGTTACCGACCCGTCTGTTCCGGTTTCGCGTCTTGACGCCCTTGTCCCTGCGGTCGCTGACTTCGCCTCTACCCACCGCCTTGACTATGCCACCGCTCTGGTCTCCACCCTGCCTGTCCTCCGTCTGTCGAGGGTGCTCCTGCCCTCGGCAGTGACGTCCTGAAGGACCGGCAGTACGAGCTTGCTTTCCTGTCCGAGGCTGCTCCCCATCTCTATTCCATGCTGCTAGTCCATGAGGGTGACCCAGATGCTTTCGACATCCTGACCCCTCGCACTTACGCTGAGGCGGTCTCGGGACCTTGGGCCTCTCGGTGGATAGCTGCCATGGAGCAGGAGATGGCATCTTGGAGATCCACCGGCACCTACGTCGACGCAGCTCCCCCACCTGGGGTGAACGTAGTCGATGGCCGGTGGCTCTTCAAGGTGAAGCGCCATCTCGGAGAGCCGCCTGTGTTCAAAGCGCGCTACGTGGCTAGAGGCTTCAGTCAGCGTGAGGGTGTGGACTTCTTTCAGACTTTCGCTCCAACCCCGAAGATGACTACTCTTCGGGTGCTGTTACACGTAGCAGCTCAGCGTGAGTACGAGCTTCACTCCCTCGACTTCTCCACTGCGTTTCTTCGGGGCAGTCTCCATGAGCAGGTCTACCTGCGCCGCCCTCAGGGCTTCACTGGTACCTTCCCTCCTAGGACCCAGTGGCTCCTGCGGCGCCCCGTTTACGGCCTGCGGTAGGCTCCCCGTGAGTGGCACGACACGCTGCGTGCTACCCTTGCTGACCGGCAGTTCTTTCCGTCCTCTGCAGACCTCTCGCCCTTCGTTCGTGCTGGCCAAACTCCGTTCTACATCCTTGTTTACATAGACGACCTAGTCTTCGCCACTGCAGACAAGGATGCACTGGCCTCGATGAAGGCAGAGCTACTTAAGAGACACACCTGCACTGACCTTGGAGAACTGCGCCACTACCTTGGCTTGCAGATCTCCAGGGACAGAGCAGCGCTTACCATCACCCTCATTCAGTCACACTTGGTGCGCCAGGTCCTTCAGAGGTCCGGCCTTCAGTTCTCCTATGCACAGCGCACCCCTCTTCCTGTAGACCACGTGCTCTGTGCTCCAGTTCCTGAGGAGTTAGTAGAGCCCAGTGGCCCTTACGCAGAGCTGGTGGGTTGCCTCATGTACCTGATGACTTGCACTCGCCCAGATCTCGCATACCCTCTCAGCATCTTGGCTCGCTTTGTGGCCAGAGGCAAACACCGACCTCAGCACTGGTCTGCCGCTAAGAGGGTTTTGCGTTATCTTGCAAGTACATCGGGCATGGGGTTAGTGCTAGGAGGGCGCAGGGCAGTGGTCCTTACTGGGCACACAGACGCTTCGTGGGCAGACGACGCCGAGACCCTTAGGTCCTCGCAGGGCTACTGCTTTAGCCTTGGTTCAGGTGCTGTCTCGTGGAGAGCTACTCGCTCCTCGTCTGTTGCCCAGTCCAGCTGTGAGGCCGAGATCTACGCCGGTGCCATGGCGGCACAGGAGCTCTGCTGGCTGACCTTCTTGCTCACTGACTTGCGGCCTAGCTCTGCCCCGGTCCTGTACGCTAACAATAGGGCCATGATCCTCCTGTGTCAGGAGCCGCGACTCGAGGGCAGAGCGAAGCACATCCAGCTGCGGTACTTCATTCTGCGTGAGCTACAGCAGCGCCGCCAGGCTCGCGTAGTACACTTGGCCTCCGGTGCTAACACAACTGATATCTTTACGAAGGCGCTTGTGCCTAAAGATCATCAGGGGCACTGTGTACAGCTAGGCCTTGTTTCTGTTGCCTCTCACTTGTTAGGGCCTTGACTGTGTACAGACCTTTTATATAGATTTTATTCTGACTGGCCTTGTGGCCTCTTCTAGTGGCTGGACTACCGTAATCCCCCGTATATAACACCCGCCGAAATAGTCACTCCGCGGGTGGTTTATGCGGCGGAGAGCTTATGATAGGGTGAATTTAGGAGAGCACCCGCTTTTCGGGGGTTGCATTTTACATAACACCCTCCTCGTTTTATGCAGCTAAGAACAGTATTTCGTAGGTTTTCAAGCTCAGCTCGATTGAGAAAAAAGACGAACAGGATGAAAAACGCAATGTCAACTACTGTCAGCAGCGAAAAAACGGGCAGAAACATCAACACAAGTTGCAACGCGGATTCTGTCACGTTCATGACGGTCGCAGGTGTCGCACAACTCAGCAGGGATTGGCCAACGACGATTGGTTCGTGAGTTTCGTCTTAGTGGATGTTGTACCTCGCTAACAGTCGCTCCGCGCATTTTTTAACACACATGGCCTGAAACACTCAAATTCAAATTGCATTTTGCATGACACATGGGCACTATATTTTTCCGGGCCACTGTTAACACCCAGTCATTTTTTTAGTGAATTTTTATATACACCATAGGGTGTTATATATGGGGGATTACAGTAATAGTGCCGCCCTGGTTTTGTTTTTGGCTTTTGTCTATACTCGTTTGAATGGTCTTTAGACCCTTGCCTTAGAGGTCGGACTAGTAGTGCCACCCTGAGCTGCTCATTCTCTCGTTAGGAACTGCTCC